GCTTTTTACACAAACTGATATAAAAACGACATTTTGTTTAATAGTATTCACTTCATCACAACGCAACGCCAAACAGATGTAAGAATATTTCGACATAATACTTTTTACTCTTTATCATATTTACATAGTTACAATTTTATCCTTTAAGATGATACTATATGTTTCCGGCAAAGTGGACAAAACAGAAGATGTACATACCTCACTCACCAGATGAAATGCAAAATTGTACATTAAAATATGTAGAAAAAAAGTACGAAAAGATTGTCGCCGCTGTGGGAATCGAACCCACGTCTTCGGCATTCGCGGCCTGACGCTCTAGCCACTGAGCTAAACGGCTGATTGCCACACCGACGAAAATCTTAACGTGTTTTTCTACATTGTTTCTAAACATTTGAAGCAATGCTTGGCGCATCCATTGTTATATCCTTTACAGCATACAAACAATTTCGAATATCGTTTTACAACGATAATTCGAACGAGAGATGTCGCCATAGCTTTTTGAGAAATTTTAATTGTTTATAGTGCTAATCTTTGCACTTAAGATTGAACATTAAAATATGTAGAAAAAGAACGAAAAGATTGTCGCCGCTGTGTATTTTAGTACTTTAGTTCTAGCACTATAAACAATTAAAATTTGCAAAATTGTAAATATTTCTACTTCTGCTGAATGGCTGTACAACATTTTAATATCGGTCAATAAATATAACAAACTTTTTAAACTTGGATAAGTTACAGTTGTTGCGTTGCTATTATTTGGAATAAACTAACATTTATGAATAAACGACCTTTGTACGAGTATGTATATTAGTCGTATGTATATTAGTATTATGTACATTACTCGGATGTGTTCGCAGGATTTCATATTTTGGAGTATTGCCCGAGGCTGCAAAAAATAATATTTAGAGAATGTCGAGATTATCGTAGTCGTTGAACGATTCTGCTGAAATTGGCAGATGAGTAGCAACGATACTTGGACACGAGTGTGCCTGTTTTCATATAGAGTTCTTTTTTTCCACGCCGCCCTCGTTTTGCGAAAATATCATTTTCATTTCTGCACTATCCTAAATGTATGGCAAATTTCCTTTTCTAAGAATTAATAATCTTAACGTTATAGGAAGCTAGGTGCAATAAGTAATGCAAAATGCATCAGGTTTTCTTATTTTTTTTAAGTCACATCGGACACAAATCGTGCAAAAAATTTTGAACTTAAGTAAAGGTTAATTATATATTTTAACAAACATGAATTTCACATCTGTATTTAATTTAGATTAAGAACAAAGGAGGATAATTATGACTTATTCGTGTTATGTTTAGAGCAAAATTTTAATGATTCAATGTCGCTACCTCAATTAAGATTGAAACGATAGTACTATATGAACTAAGAATAAATATCACGAGTCTTGCCTTTTTTATGTAGTTAGTTTAATTTGCGTAAAACGATAGCGGAGGTTAAGACCTTTACGTTTTATATCAACTTTAATCACACGTTGCTCGCTGCGTAGATAAACTGTCAAAATAATGATAAAAAATGTAGTATTTGTTTTAAAAATGGAGTAAATTGCTTGCTAAATCAAAAAATCAGTGAAATGAGAAAAACTACTTTCGACAACTTTGCACACTGTAAACGATGGTGAGCAACTGAAAATTATGCCAGGTAACGGTAAACGGACAAGCAAGGCGCATTAAAACCTCCTTTATTATTGCTATAAAGACTCAAAACATTTGCATAAAGATATCACAGTTTGCCGTCTTGGAATCCCAACTGTATAAATTTGGAAAAACTCGTACACTAACTATATTAACACTCAGCTGAGTACAAATAATATTTAATTCGTTTATTTATAACTAAACATAGATCGTAGAGGATTATCAATGCATATTTGTTCATTCTCACTTCATAAACATTATACATTGATATATAGCAATTATACGATTTCGAAATATTGACAAAGTTTTACCCAAGCGAACCTACATGTTTGATATCTGTGATTTTCTACCGTAGACATCGTTACAACAACTATATACTGAAAATCCAGAAGCCCTGAAGGCAAAACAGAACATCTAACTAGTTTTAGCAAATTTAAACAGGTTGTTTGTTTTGTGAGAGTGTGTATACACTAGCACGTGCGGGAACGGGACGAGGCAAGCGCTTAGTTCGTATTACATCCGGCCCCTGTTGATGCGGAAACATTTGTATCTGCAAAGAACAAGTGTCCAAAAGAGCGTTTGAAGCGCTAGGAACAGTCTGGTTACAAGTCAAGTGAGCGCTTCTAAAATTAACTCGCTTGCTCCCTCGTGAACACGGACGTTATATCATTCGAATTGAACGCAATAAATATTTAGTGAGGTCCGCAGTAAAGTGGTATACTTTTGCGTTTCGTCCGGCGAGTGAGGTAACTGAGGCGAACGCTTTTATAGGTTGACGAAGAATTTCAACCTGACACGTGTTGGAAATGTCTGATAGAGACGGCGGTAATCATTTATATCTTAATAACTCGATATTGATTCTGTAATATATTTATCTCTTCCTTTTCAGGACAAAACTCACAAACAGAGCTTAAAATCAAAACTGTTTACTGCTGGTCCATCAGACACTACGTAAAATAATTAATAATCTAAACATATTATTTTCATTAAGAGAATTTTCAATCTTAGAATGTAATTTTGCTTAGCTCTAAATGCAATGATCCGATTTTTCTTAATGTAACAAAATTATCTCTAAACAACATTGGCTATAGTCCTATAAATAATAATATAACGTGTATTTCCAATAAAATGTGAGAAAATGAAGCGGTTGCTTATAAGACAATCTAATATAACTTAGTTATTAATATCGGTTTCTATTTATTTGATAACTTAGCTATTTAATACACAATGAGTTGTCTGAAACTTATATTACTACTTAGGTAATGCAGTGGGGAGCAGTTTGCATTTTAATTAAAAAATTCAAAAATTAAAAAATATAATGAAAATTTAATCTTATATGAAATTAATTTTAGCCGCACCGGATAGTAATTAAACTAATAACAGTAAAAAAAGTCGTTATAGCCTTCTGTAGTGTTATTTATATCATGAATATAGAGCTCTTATTAGCCGTTAGTTTCACATGATTATTATTGCGGTCGTTATTAGAAAAATTGTTCTCATTAAAATGGAGACGGGAGATTATGAAAAGTTTTACTTTGTCTTCATATCAACACAGTACTTGCTTTATTTCACATGTTACTTTAGTCATGATCAAATATGTAACGAATACTTGGTCATATGATTATGTATTAACCAAAATTTATAAAGGAAGCAAGGAAGAAGTATCCTGACCATACACTACAACTGTCGTTAAAAAATTAGTCCGTTTAAAAATGTCTACATCAATGGTGTACACGCGAATTAAAGTAAACCCATTCTTATGAACATTGTACATAAGGTTCAAAACTACAAACGTGGCATCATCTCCCTTGGAAAAGTTAGTTCAAACAATTCAAGTGCCACTTTAATACGCGTAAGTGAATGCGACTAATATGGTGCACCGGAACCGTTCTACATTATTACCCGAGCTCTTTACGCCTACCACCTATCTGAGATCGGCCTACAGATTATACATATCCCGGTAGGTGAAATGTACTCAGAGCTCAGAGCCGTTATTCAAACAAACCAGTCACTCGCACAGATAATAAATGCATGGTACATGTTATAAAACGTTTTAAGAGATCGCTTAGCGTTCCATTTAAATGAGAACAGAATAAAGAACATTTATGAGACAGTAATACGGTTAAATCTTAGTTTGTTTGATAGGTATTCTTGATAAAGTAAATTTTTGATTATATCACTTTAATATAATTTGTGATCGATCTCTAATATTTGACCAAGAATCAATAGACCTATAATGTAAGATTAGTATCCAAATAAATTATACATTTAGGATTAAAATTATGTAATTTACTAGTTTGCTATTGAAATACCGCCAAGGAAAATAATCCAATCGTTGTAATCCTTTCTATTTAAGGGGTTTATTTAATTTTTACTGAATCTACGACGAATTACAAAAAATAAAAAACGCTCTATCAAACTGTGACCTTTTTCCTTGCTAACATTAATAAGGTTAAATAAAGTAGACTGTTACACACATTTAATCTATTAATGATTACCAACATAGATAAGTTTTTACATACAAACAAATCAGTCACTGTAAATGTTTGGTTCCAAATGTATAGCGAACCGCGACATCGTAGTTCGAGTTGCATTGAATATAAATTGGGTAATAAATAAAGAGCTCATGACGTATCGAGTGTACTTATATGGTGGGGTAAAGTAGTCAGTTGATGAGACATGTTATTGCCCATTTAATAAGTTAAATGACCTCTAGTAGTAGATTTAAAACGCCGTGGGACACAAGAAAAATTATTTGACCCAAAAGAAGTAATAATACAGGTTTGCAAGTTTAAAATTTGAATACGGCTTATTTGTTTTTGGAAAACTTAATGAAATTAAACACGTTTTTTTTACTCATCTCCATTTATGTTTACAAAAGCCAGCTGCACTATCTAGTTCGCATCGTAAAAACAAAAAACTGAACAGAATCAAACATGTATTTCAGCTTCAATTTTTTTAAAAACTCAACCATCGAAATTAGAATCAGAGTGCGTGTAAATGAAACCAATGTTTCTTGTTTATAAAGTTCTTTAATTATGTATCTATACAAACATTAACCATAATCGGATAAAAACTACACAATAATTTACAGTCTTTCGTATAATACTTATAACTTTTTAAACTATAGAACAAAGTAATAAATTACAAAGAAGCAAATCTCACAGAAATGCGATAATTTGGTATCGTTATTGTACATTGGAAATAAGTTATAATTAACAAATAGTACAAGATTTCTATTTACAACACGAGACGATTTTGTTTTTTTTTTTCACAAGAAGCAATATGTTCAGCGCATTAAAAGGTTTTTACAAACTGAGATCTTTCAACAACATTCTCAACTACAAGACTTACACCAGGTAGGTTTGAACGGTATGCTGTAACACCACCGACTGTGGCTGGTTATGGCGACCGTGGAAGTCTGTAGATGAATAGTCAGAGTCTATTGTCGAATATATGTGCTCGGAAAGAGGTCGATCGCAAGGCGAACGCTCCGCTGAGTTCGCGGACTTACCGCACAACGTCTGACAGGTGCTGTTCAGCACGGACGCGTCCATTGTGTATGTGTTCGAACTCCTCCCATAATTTAGCCTTTTCAACTTTTGCCCGCGCTTCTTCGACGACGGCATAGCGTAGCGTAATCGCTCCCAGAACCGTTTCTCTTTCCACGTTATCTCCAAACCCGTTTTTAAATGCGACTTCAGTTCCGGGTCCCTCGGAACGAGCCCTGCGGCGACTATTATTAATTTATGCGGGTTCTTTCGGAGTGCTCTCTGTAATGCCTGACGGAATTCTATTTGCGACCATTCTGTTAGTATGAAATTCTTTGTCAACACCACGATAATACGTCTCGACGCTTCCGTTGCCTCGACAACTAAATCTGGGAACTGTGCGTAAGTCGCCTCGAACTGAGGTACGTCTCTGTAATGCAAACAGAGATGATAAGATGGATAGCCATTCTCGAGCTCCTGGGCCAAAGATTCTATTACGAACTCCTCGTCTTTAGGACTGTAACAGATATAAGCGTCGTAAAGCTTATCAGCGTCATTAAAGGCGTCCGCTAAGGGAGAGAGCCTAATGCCGCAATTTGAATACAACCACATTCTGCAAGCATATCTGAACGTGAACACTAACACTAAAATCAATAAAATAAGCATGAAACCGGTGAGAGCCGACGCCAGTAATGGTATGTTGTTCGAAACGAAAAGGGCGCTTATCATCGACGAATCACTTATTTGACTACAAACCGTCACATTTAAATTCAACGGCTTTTTTATTTGGCTCATTTTCTCGTTCACACACCACAAACCGTGGACATCGATAACTTTCTCGACGTTCTGGGATATGTACGTTAGGAAACCTTGTAAATATTTACAATCGCACGACCAACGGTTACCGCCTATGAACAGCGTTTGTAACTTTTTATTATTGTCCAAATGCCACAGGCCATAATTTACGAGTCTGTTCCCGTCCAAGCGTAAAACTTCGAGCGCGTCCAAAAAGGAAAAAGTTACGTTTGAAATGAATTCAATGGCGTTACTTTGAAGATACAATTCTTTCAAGTTGCTCAACTTTGAGAACTCGAGGCCTTGTAAACGTTTCAACTTATTGTTGTCTAAATGTAGTATCCGTAGATCGACGAGCGTATTGAATGAATCGTTATGTAAGCTCACAATGTTGCTCGAATTTAAATACATGACAACGGCTTTGCGCATCGAGACGAAAACGGTTCCGTTAAGTTCGTTATAAATGTTACCATCTAAGTAAATGTGCGTTGCGCTGATCGGAAGCTCGGCCGGCACTACATCGCTTTCTTTCACCGAACAATCCACCACGTTTGTGGTTTTTGTCGAGTCGTGATAACACGAACAATTGCTCGGGCATACTGTTCTGCAATTGCAGAAATTGAAATCGCAACAGCCGCAGTCTTCGGGACAGTGGCTATCGTATTTGCATAGAAAATCTCTTAGTTGCAGCGAGCTCACGGGTACGTATTTGGCGCCGCGGACGTAGGACTCTTTGCATATCGCGTTTTCCAAATCCATGAGGCGGGGGTACTGACGCGTTGTGATGGAGTTGATTAAGAGCAACCATTTCATCGAGCAATCGCAACGGAAGGGATTACCGCTGATATAAAACTCGGGCAGCGGTCTCACGTCCGACGCTCTCGAAATACGCAAACTATTTATGTCCAAAGTCCCGATCGCGTTCGCGTACATATCAACGCGGGTTAAATTACTCTTGTCCCGAAACGTGTCCGTCTCTATTTTGGAAATTATATTGTTGTTTATAAACAGAAGCTCGATGCTGTTCGGTAATGATATGCCCGACAAAGCGACTATGCGGTTATGGCTCGCGTCTAACGTGGTCACGTGCAACTCTTTCTGAATCTTATAATAATTGCCTAGGATCTCTATGAAATTCGCGTGAATGTCCAACCACTTCAAATTACCCGGAATGAATGCGTAATCGAACCAAACCAAGTGATTTTCGGACAGGTTCAACCATAACAATTTCGTAAGCGAAACAAATACACCGTTTATATCGGAAATGAAATTGCCGTCCAAGCGAACGGCCTCCAACTGCGCGTTCCTTTGAAAGGTTTCGGTCTCAATTGACTGAATTTTATTTTTCGCCAAATTGAGCACTTGCAGACTCGGCAAACCCCAGAACATGCCCGCCGTAAGGTTACCGATCTGATTGTCGATTAAACGCAACCCGGTCAGCTGGGACAAATTATGAAACGACGTATTTGCTATTTCAGTTAATAGATTTTCGCCCAAGTCTAACGACTTGAGGAACGGTAATTGCAAAATTGCTTCGGGCACTTTCGTCAACCTATTAGAACTCAAGTCCAACTCCTTCAAGTCCGAACAGTTACGGAACGCGTTATCGCTAACGTACGACAACATATTGTTGTTCAAGTTTAATTTGTTCAATATGAACAGCCCGTTGAACACGTAGTCCTCTATCGCATTCAATTTATTCTCGCCCAAGTTCAGCGTGTGCAAATTGAAAAGGGGCGAGAAAGCGTTGTCCTCGACATGCCCTATAGTGTTATTGCCTAAATTTAGTATTTGCAAAAAGAACAAGTCCTTAAACATGGTACGTGCGACCCGCGCAATCGCGTTCTGGGACAGGTCGAGCACGATTAATCTTATTAAACCCCCGAACGTTTCATCTTCTATGTGGTCGCTCTTCAATTTATTCGCCGAAAGATCTAAAACGAGCAATTGTTCCAACCTATTAAATATTCTCTTAGGCAATATTTCCAGTTCATTGTTTCGCAAATAAATCTCGCGAATTTCCCTCGTATTTTGAAATAAACTCTCAGGCAAATAATTTATAGCGTTCTCCGAAAGGTTCACAACTTTTAACGACAGCAAGTCGCTGAAGACCTCGCCCGGCAATTCATTTATCTTGTTATTCTGCAGGAAGAGTTGTGTAAGCCGCCGCAGATGTAATATTTCGGAGTCAGCTGGCAGAGACATGATGTCATTATGGCTCAAATCTATTGTCTGGAGCGTCGATCCGCATTTATGACCGAAGCCCAATTCGTCGACGAACTTTATCTTATTGTTGGTTAAGTTCAGTGAAATTATGTTTTCCAGCGCGCAGAACAGATCTGAGGGTATTTTCCTGATGTTGTTGAACGCCAAGTCGAGGGCGTGCAGCTCTCTGAGGCCGTTGAACGCGCCCAGCGAGAGCTCCAGCTCCTTGTTGGGGGCCCACTCGTTGTTCATGGTGCGCACCTCGAGGCTCTTCAGGCCGCGCAGGCCCTCGAACGCGTTGCCCGGGAGACGGAGCAGCTTGCAGTTGCGCACGACCAGCTCGGCCAAGCCGCGCATCCTGCCGAAGTGGTGGGCCCTCAGCGTGCTCTCGGCGAGCTCGGGCCCGCAGTGCACCGCGAGCCTCCGCGCGCCCTCCGAGTGCGTCGGACCGGGGACGTCGCCGTCCGACAGCGTGCGTACATTGCACTCCACCGCTGCGGCCCCATCGGCCGCGCGCGAACAGCCCGGCGCTTCCGTCACCACCGCGCCCGTCACCAGGCAGAACAGCAGCGCCGCAACTATCATTCTAATCCGCACCTTTGGCATGTCATTTCGCCTGTCAACTTATCTCGTTGCAGGGCAGTGTTCGCGGGACGCGCACAACCATATTAGCTTTACGGTACACTACGCGATCGTTTAACGTCTCACGGCGCGCTGCAAGTCACGTGTGGCCGGGACACGAGCTCCCCTCGCGGCGGCGCGTCGGCGACTGATCGGCATTCGGCGTTCAGTTCAGCCGTCCGCTCACAATGAAACGCCATGAATGCGAGCTCGGGGGGAACGGGCAACACCATCGCATTTCTATCGCCGCATACTAAGTAACCCGACGTACTTAGTTTTCGACTTTTGTAGAAAACGGAAACCGTTACGTGACTTTGCCTCCATTTATGTTATTAGACGCTGCCGGGACCGTTCTTAGGCGCGAACTCGTAATCTGTTGAGTATGCTCTATACAAGTCTATGCAAGCGTGCACTTTATGTTAATATTGTTTAGCAGTTTATATCGCTATTATCTATTATTAATTTGAATATAACATACTTAAAGTAAATATAAATCGATTTATCGATCAATAAAAACAAAGAAATAAAAAAATGTGTTTATGTTAGAATGAGCAGTTATGATCACATTTCATAAGTACTTACTCAATTACTGCCAATTAACATTTGTTTTAAATTCACATGTTGTAAATTTTATCTGAAATTTGTTAAATATTCGCTTCAGCGAAAATGGGCAAAAAATGTTTCTAATTTCTACAATAATTCTAATAAAAATGTCAAAAATCCTTTTAAATCGTTCGTGTGTACTTGTGGCACATTAGGATTCATCAGTTTTTATATCACAATTATATTCCTTTTATTACTAATTATTACCAAAAATTTTTTTTCACGTAAACAGTCAAGACCATCGTTGTCAAATATTAACTCTTATAAGAACTCTCAACACCATAAAAAAATTAAATAACAGCCTACATATGTCGCATTGCTGTACAATAGCAACAGATGAGAATCTGTACAAAGGGTATTAGGACATAGCCAACTAAGCGAACCCACTGTGGATTAGCTGACTTCATACATTTCAAATATTTATTACGTAAAAAGTTGGCAAAATAGGAAGCGGTTCTCCTGATATTAAGAGATGTAATTACCGCCTCCCGTGGAGATCTGCAACACCAGGCGAGTCACAAGCACCGACCTTTAAAAAGAGCGGCTCCCTACTACCTGACACCAGAAGAAACACTAAACTATGTATAAAACTTCACGCTTGTCTTCTATGACGCTGTGCTACTTACCTGGATAAGCCCGCCCACTCGTACACATATTGTAACACCTAACAATAATTTTTAAATTAATAACAATTAAAAATAAATGAACATAAGATATACGTATATTTATTCCTTCTACCCTTATGTGGAATAAGGATGTGGTTATTATAAAAAGAACCCATTTCTCATTCTTCAGACATTCAGTATCTGTGGGAGTCGACACAACATGTTTATCATGCTGTTCATGGTATTGGCTTAGATGTTATACGACCACCCGCCTGCCCCAGTGTCAACCCTCGGGAACAATCCACCCGATCCGGAACAATGATCTGTGAGTCACACAAATACTTATCTCATATGGGAATTGTATTCAGGAACTCCGGTCAAGAAGCCAATAGCTTAGCAATCGCGGCTCCGAGGCATTAAAAAAATAGTAAGAAGTAAAATAAAGTAAAAGTCGTTACATAAGTTAAAATTAACAATTTCATTAGTGCCGGCACATCGAACTCAGGTTGCTTGAGTATATTAAAATAGCGAGCGCCCAGGAAATGAGCTATCACAGCATAAAAGTAAACAAACTAAATTCCATCCATTATAATTTTTTTTTTGTTAAAATACAGAATAGAATAAAGACAGAACCAAAAAAATACAAAAAGGCTAGAAGTTCACATCATTCGGAAAAACAAAAGAAATGCAAACTTGTCCAAATTAACAAAGAAATATGTTAAACGTAATACGTAGCTTTGTGATTTTTTACTTTTTTTTATTACATTTGTCCTGTACATAGAAACAAACAATTTATTTGACTTCAATTTATGTGGGTGTCAAGTTCATAGACTTGCATTATTTATTTTTAATATGTTAACAAAAAAGAAAGTAAAAGCCACTGAGCGTTATAATTCAAACACTATAAATTAAAAGAAAGACAAAACTTCTGTTTCCAATTGCGAGACCGACGTTATTAAAAAAAAACGTTTCTGTCTTCAATTGCTGAACTTAATTCCCGTGATGCCGTACGATTTATAAGGAATGCAACAGCTGCCATTCCCGCTGCGCTCAAAGTAAAAGTACGTATGGGGGACTTTTTTACGTCGCATTGCCGATGGGTTATCAACCTGTTACATTGAACGCGAATATTTATATTGTAATGTTCTACTGTTATGAATGCATTTCGAGATACGAAAAAGACCCTTAAGTTTTGGGCAAACGGTAAAAAATTTGTTTTACTTTGAACGTTAATACAAAATACATGATTCATAGTTCCACATAAACATGACATGACTCTACAAATATAATTATATATATATATTATTTATTATATATATTAAGTGTTAAGAGTATAAATGTATGTGTTTGTAAAACGTCCTTACAACACAGGATAACATTATCCTGTGTTATTTTATCAGGACGTTTTACAAACATAAAATTCACGCGGAAAAAAAACTCATTAAAGTCTGTATGTTAAGTTTTCATTACATTTATGAAAAATTAGATACTAGTGTTGAAGGAAATTCCGAGCCCAAGCAATCGGACGAAGAGTCAACTATAAACTAATTTGAGGAGAATTGTGAGGAGAAATAAAATTAAACATTATTATTATTATTATTATATTATACTGTTGTACTCGTATATTGTTGTCTAACACGTCACAGAGGAGTAGCTTATTCTCAATCACGTAGAAAACTTCGTAAATTACATACTTTTTTTATGCGAAAAGTTGCGAAACGAGCAGACGGTTCACCTGATGGTAAGTGAATACCGCCGCCCATGGACATCTGCTACACCCGAGGGTTACAGATGCGTTGACAACCTTTTGAAAATTGGGCTCCGGCTACCTCACTTTACGCTGGTCTTCTGTGAGGTCGTGTACTTACCCGGACGGGCCTGCCCATTCGTGCAACAGCCGTGGCTGCTGCGTGGCCCTACCACTTGAATATTTAATTAATGAATATAATACAATTCTCCAACTACGCGCATTTCCTGAGACTTTAAAGGTAAGAATATTACGTTCTTACTTCATTTTATTGTTAATTTAATTTATTTCTTATTGTTTAAAAAAATGCATATAAAAGTTTATAAACTAAAACAAATTTAGTTTTATACTTTAAACGTGAAGCGCACAGAAAGCTTCATTATCTTCGTTAAGCTTATTTGCAACTTTCTAATATGATTGTTAGTTGTTTTCCAATTATTTTAACTGAATAAAGAACTGTTACGAGGCCCTAATTATTTCTTCTCGGAACTACATTTAACTTAGTCTCGCTACCTCCTAAATCCTTGGAAGAAATATCGCTTCGAAATAGAATCTGCACCGTTGTCTATACAGTTTACGGTATTACTGTATGTTTACGTTGAAGCCACAATTGTAACTTCGTAATTAAGAACATTAAACGTTCAACAAAGGTTAAACTATGTTAATGTGTTTTTTTTCATAAACGCCTATTCAAAAATATTACTTTATCGATCGAATTCATAGAAAACTTTGGACAACATCGACTCAGGCTAAAATGCCGTAAGAATTGTGAACACAAAAAAGCCGTTTCTACTGAGTTGTTTACTATAAGGGAACTTTAGCTATAACTAATTCATAAGCCTGCACAGAAATACGTTGCAATCAAATTACAAACGCAATAGAAACAACAACATGGCATTTAAGGGTTAATCGTAACAGCGGGCCTTTTTTACTATAAAATATTCTACTGTTAAATATTCTAGCGTAACTAGAATTTAACAATAACGACAGGAACAGTAATTATGGATTACAAAGTAATACCAAACAAAATAGTATGGAATACTGAAGTAGAAAAAGGAAAAAGTCAAAAGACATTGCTCGTGTAATTTTTTTAAGACCACAACATTAGCCATGTTGTGCGATAACAATATCGTATGTTGTATGACTGTCGTACACATACGTGGAATACTCTGAAAGTTCTTAGTAAATCATAAAACGGATCAATGTACCAGTAGTACCGTTCATCTCTATACATTTTCGCATTCGATGGAAATAATGAGAAAAGCAGTGGGCCCATTCTTCCTTAGAGGTCTCTTGTACGGCATTTACGAACCCACTTACCGTGTCTTCGGAACTCGTTAAGCTGTAAAATACCTCGCAGTTTATCGTTGATCCTTGGGAGTAAATTAATGAATGAATAGCAGGGCCCCAGGTTGGGTCTATATGGCGATTGACTCATTATCTAAACACCTGTCATAGTCAAATATTCAATTGTTCGTTTTGCGGAGTGCGGTGAATCTTTGACATGGCGAAGGAGGATCGTGTTTCGAGGTCGCTGCTCTTGAACATTTTCCAGGATAAACACAGCACAGAAACAGGCAGATCTAGAGCAGTTCTGTGGGTTATATAAATGTTTGTCCAATTGGGAATCGAACGTGACGCAGAAGACAACAGCTTAGTAACTACTACTGTCACTCCAATACTACTGAACCGATTTAAATGAAATTTGGTACACAGATAGTCTAGAGTCTGAGAAAGGACGTATTTCTTAATTGTAAAAAAGTGTTGTAAACTTCAACGCAAGCGAAGCCGCGCATCATTTAGAGCAGGAACACGATTAGGATAAGTGTATATTGTAGGAAGATTCCCTTACCTGTAAAACAATTTTGGATAATACATGCAGCAGGGAATAACAAAAGATTACATAGAAGATACTTATGAACATAATATTTCCTTTACCTTTTTCCTTGGCGATAATTTGCACGCATTATTTTCCCCTTAGGAAATTGTTCCAAAAAGAAATTCGTGTACAATTTTCTATCTCATCACTCATCCAAATGAAACCAGAATTGGATTTCAATTATATAAGTAATTGCATTTATATTTTTAATACTCCAAAAAACTGTGAACGGTGCATTTTAGAATGTATGTTTATTAAGTACATATGTATACATAGACATAATTATTGTCAAAAAAAATATATAAAAACATAGTCTATATATGTATATCCATGGGAAAAAAAAGTATGGAACAAATATTACACACATTCCCGCACGGTAATGTGTCCAGCAAAACTTTACGATAAGCTTTTACAAACTCTCACATACTTCCTACAGCTTCAGCAGTCAAAGTAGTGAACAATTTATTGTCATAAAAGCGCATATTTTATGAAAACTAAAATTACGCAAAGACAATGAGGGATTAAAGGAAGCTTTTCTATTATATATTTCCTAATAAGTCAGCATAAGTGTCCATAATAATTACTCTTTAATCATTACAATTCAATTATTAGGCCCTTACATATGAAATTGCCGTTTTGTATGGGAATTACTGTATAGGAATTTAAAGTAATTTTTTTTTGTAAAATATATTTCTTTAATCAAAGTATGCACCGTTGTTATCTATGCACTTTTGCCATCTCATAGGTAGTCAATTGATCCCTTTAATAAAAAAATCATGGGGCGAGAATCAATAAACTCTTTAAGGCAGTTTGGACAGCCGCATCGGAGTTGAAGTTTTTCCTTGTAAGAAGTTGTCAAAATTCTGGAAATTTAAAGTAATGTAAAACTTTCATAACTCAATACATTTTTCATTGTCATTATTAATCGGATTGCTAACATAAAATTAAATAGAGATACTGTTCGTATTATTTTAAAACTAATCTAGAAACTGACACAACGAAACCGACAAAAACTGATGCAATGAAGATGGTAGAGCACAAATCAAAAGTTTCAATTTTATTGAAAGATTAAATGTAATATGATTGGGAAATAGGGAATCGAATTTTAAAACAATTGAACAGCCTATTGGCGGCAAATTTGTAAGTCCGCCACTGCACACTACTCCCCGTTCACTATGAAAAATAAATCTAGAGCAAACAGTTATATATAAGTAATAAGTAAGTCGATGAACTCCTGAAAATTCTTGTGAACTATTAAAAAAATTAACAATCCGCCATTGTTCTTTAAAGTTTAATATATCACAGAATATTTTTGAAACAAGGAGAAATATTTTAACAACTTCCCAATGTAATTGAAAAAATTTTTTGGGATCTAAAGAAAAATGTACTTCTTAGGTACCTTTTATGTTTTTGTTGATTCAATTTCTATTACTCGTTAAAACATTACCTTAACATGGGCCTATATAATTATGTATATATGGAATTAATTGTAAAATAGATTATAGGTACAATATAATAATTGATACATACTATTGGGAACAATGTTAAAATCAAAATAATTTTTTCGTTATTTCAATTTTCAAACGTGTAAGGGCATCACAAACCCGTGTTATATATAAATGGCACTACGTTTATGATAATTAATTAAATTAAGTTCACTTGCTTTTACATTTAAAATTTTTTTCTTTTTTTATGTGAAAAGTTGCCAAACGAGCAGACGGTTCACCATTGACATCTGCTACACCCGAAGATTGTAGATGCGTTGACAACCTTTGAATATTGGGCTCCGGTCACCTCACTCACCAGACGAAACGCGAAAGTATTAAACTTCCACTTTACGCCGATCTTCTGTGAGGTCGTGAAACTTACCCGGACGAGCCTGCCCATTCGTGCAACAGCCGAGGCTGCTTGGCCCTACCACCGTGTATTCTTAAATTAATTAATTTTTGGCTCTATATTTATTGCATTTATGCCTATTACTCGTAACATTAATAAACATTTCGTTTGGCATACTGGAATGTGAGTCCTATATGTTTTGTGTTTCATATGTATTAAAATATTTATATGCATTTAAATATAAGGACCTTACATATAAAATTAGCGTTTTGTCGTACTGACCACTGATCTGAAATATCTCCTCTATGGTTAAGAATTCCAAATTCTATACATAAACTTTTCTATACAATGTATAGTTACATAAACATTCATTATCAGGGTTTTAAATGTACGAGAAGTGGGCATTTTTCTATATCGGTATATTTACGAGCACCTACGAGTTCTACCGTGGCACCAGTGCTGCAGAAACAACTCGAAGGATTAATGATGTGTACGGCGCTGGTGTCGCAAAAGAAAGGACGGTACGATTTTGGTTTCAACGTTTGCGTTCTGGAAATTGCGACCTTCAAAACCAACCCCTAGGACGGCTGGAGACCAAAGTGGAAGATGAAGAATTAAAGGCTATTCTGGAAGCGCATCCATCACAAAGCACTTCAGAGATAGCTGTAGGCTTCGACGTATGTGATAAAACTGTATTAATCCACTTGAAGCTCAATAATGAAGGGATTTTAAATCGAATCATTACTTGTGATGAAAAGTGGATACTGTACGATAATCGGAAGCGCTCGTCGCAATGGCTGAACCCTGCCCTAAACGAAAATGGACTCAGAAAAGTTACTCACTCATCATTAAAGCATTAGTCAGTTCATGAAAAAATTAAACTCCCATGGTATGTTTAAATTTACCCTTTTGGACTTTGTAGTACTAATTATTACTACTTAGTACTTAGTAGTCATTATTATTACGTTATAATAATTAGTACAGAAATTATAATGTATAAATTATTTTCACTTTAATTAGCTCATGCATATAGTATTTAAAACCAATGAACATCCGAACCTACAAAGTACCAGCACAACTTTAACCTAATCTAGTGCCTATTACAAACACATGCTATGTATCTATTGTTGAAATAGTACAAAGCCACAAATTTACATTACAGTTTGGCCCACTAAAAAGGTGGTTTCACTCTTTATAAAACTCGAAGCGACGTGACGTTAAATATGCGCAATGCCGGACGTTTTATTTTTGAGTATACAAATAGTCGAATAACCAACCACGCCGCGGCTACTATTGTGGTCGCACTTCACGGTTTTCAATCAAAATCATTTGGAACAGTGCAAATTGAAATGCATAGGCTTACAAATAATGTACAGCACAATTTACAGTTCAGGCCGCAAACGCTCCCGAAAATGTTGGTTTTACAACATTTTTCTCAGTTATTTTAATTAAATTTACTTGAAGCCATGTCATGCAATAAGTTCTCGTTTTGTCGGGTTTCTTTCGTGATAAACAAATCCATGATTAGAAAAATTAAAATAGTCAAATATTTTCATTGGAGCAGACAGACAATCATTTCCTATATTACAAAGTACTCTGTGCAGACAATACTTCTATGACTCGGGACAAAAAAGGGTTTATGCCCTATGTGTTTGTTTATATATATATATTTATTTGTTAAAAACTCCAATTCATATTTTATAACACTTTTCTTCTCTCTCCTGCCCTTCTAACCTAGATGCGGTCAGCGCAACTCCCTCTCGTCAATTTTTAAAGCAATGAATTGCGATATATTAGCATACGAATATATCGCATTTCATTTCTTTTTTAAATTCAGATTGAAATCGACATAATTTCACCATTCGAAATAACAATGTAGATAATAGACGTTTAGATTTTCGTCGGTGCGGCAGTCAGCCATTAGGCTTAAAGCATCTGGGCGCAAATCCGGATGACGGGTTGGATCCTGCAGCGGCGAAAAACTTTTCGTCCTTTTTTCTACAAATTTCAAGATTGGGCAGAATACTCACTCACCATTTCATATGGTGGATGGTAGAATGGTTCCACTTTTGGTCTTCTGTACGTGACATTTCCAGTTAACGACTTCAAAAGACGAGGCAGTTATGAACCGACTTAATTGTTTTTTTTTTTCATTGGGTTCTGTTGAGCTGTGTATGTGGTCCCATATTCATTTTATTGATATTGAACCTTGAAATCCAGAGATACATCTTGAAACTCCCCAAAATCAATTAGAAAATGTATGTGTGTGCGATATTTGATCTTATTTAGATAATCCATCTTGTACATTTTTAAACTGAAGGAAAACTCACGAATTATTTCGAGAATTGAAACCACATTCATTTTATTTCCATTTATACTTTTATTACTTTCAAGTTTAAGTAACCCTAAACTTAAAACATGAACATATTTACAATTCAAAATTAAAGATTGTATACCTATCATAAAAACAATTCAATGGGTGACATCAACAATCTTATATAACCGAAATTGTTAACAATAGCATACAGCGACACAATAATATGTTTTTGTATTGTTAACAATCTGCAAGAGATGAACATATCAATTCTCTTTCCCATACACTAAAATCACTGGTCTTGATCTTTTAAGTCTTTTCATCTCATTATCAACACATTTATTTCAATCATGCTTAATCACCTAACCTAAACACACAATATCATAAAAGTGAACAGTCATATTAAAACAAATCATATCAAAGAAGAGTTAAAATCAATCAATTACTGTTCGTGGTCTAAACTAATTTACCTACTAAAGTTATATTGGGTCTTTGATAAATGTAGTCAAACGATAAATGGTTTTAAATTTAACTATTTTAGATTATTACCAATTAGGATATCTTTCAATATGCTGCAATATAACATAATATAACATACATTTTTAACCTTGAAAGTAACTTCTTCCATTGACATATTAAATTATAATTGTTCAATAAATAGTTCAAGAGATTACTTACCAGATGATGTTCATGTTCAAATTTCTTGACCGAAATTACTAATATTAACTAATATTAACACTTGAACAATGCATAGATACAATCAAAAATTGCCGATCTAGAACAATGCATAGATACAATCATAACTAGTAAAAATTGCCGATCTACACTGGTTGGCAATAACAATATTATTTAAAAAGCTGTTTTGTTTTTAAATACATTAAATAATATAAGGTATTCTGTGCAACTGCAAATATGTTTTATCAGCTTGATTATTTGCCAAGTTTTAGCAACTTTTTTCATACTTATTTATATAAAGTGGATATTACATGCTCTATGCTAAGCCCTACGAAATTGAACTATTAAATTTATTGCTAAAATAAACTTGTTAATATAACCAAAAATCAAATTCACTTATTTCTATAATTTGTGTATAAACAAAGTCATAAAATTATTCCATCCAAAGTCCAACACAAATCATATCCGTGTCCATACCAAAAATATACTACATTAACACAGCTGATATTTCACGCAGTTTGCGTGTATCAATTCAATGTTGCGCAAAAATCAGTCTTATATATACAAACATTGATCAATATATAGAGCCAATAAATATTTTTGGTATGTTTGTAAATCCATTGATATCACACATGTAATATTTGCAAAACAAATTCAACTCTCTCAAACAAAGTGAAATAGTATAATTGGTTATTTGTTTCCATAGGATTGTACACAATGAAAGCCAAACCATACTATTACTTCACTACTCAACTCTAGGCTCTAAAAATAGTCACCTAGCTAAATTGAATATCTATATATGAGGACAAAGCATTGTGTTACCAATTTTTAATAAACATGTATTTCAATCTTCAATAAAATAAGAAATAATCATGTTACATAGCCATTTTAAAATACCATTTAAAAAGCCTTATCCCGACATAACTAGTCGAAATATATACAAAACCTAATGTTCACAAACATAAGACCAACAGTAAATTGGAGAACATCATAAAATCTAATTATTGCAAATGGTGCTGAGAAAAGGCCGCATTATTCATGTATACTATACAATCTAGAGACGAGGCTTACACGCGCGGTGAAATCGTTCGCGCGAACGCAAATTTTGCAATTTCACGCGACGATTTGACTAGAAAACAACAGTTGCTGTAAGCCTATAACAGTTAAGTCTCAACACAAAGCTGATGTCACTAATAGTCAAATACTGAAATGCAGTCCTGTCGCTCACTTTGCATCACCGGTCTTTTTGATAGACTTTGAACACCAAATATTCACTATAAGGTGTCCAATAAACGCGTGTCCCTAGCGATCCGCACTCGTGTAATACCGCGTGTCACCATGGGGTACAATTATGTTTCAAGATTTAACTTAAATCCCAACCCCGTGTTTCTGTTATCAAATCTTGACACCCTTTCTTGTTTATATCCTGAGATAAATTTTGTATTATATCACATCCCATTCAATGAAAATCCGGCTTTAAGCCCATTATGGTTCACGGTGGACGCGGCACACTGTTTCTCATACAAAGTACATCTTACGTTCGAGTCCGCCACTGTTGCAAAATCTACACACGACCCGGTAAGGTACTTCGACGTGCAGAAGCGGCATCATCCACTCAAGTCGCCGAGCAAGGCACCTCCGTATCAGAGCCGCTACCGCTGACGTAGAAGCGGCCTCCTCCGGGCCTGTACTTGTCTTGTCGACGGTGAGGCCTCCTTGTCGACGGCGAGGCCTACTTATCTAAGGCCTGCACGTGATCGGGCCGCTCGCCGCGCGAGTAGCGCGCCCACATGCGCGCGTACAGCATCTCGAGCCCGATAGCGTAAGCCTTGCAGTCGAACAGCGGGCTCTCGGTCCTCGCCGTCCACACCTTCGCGCGTATCGCCTTCAGGCTGCACCGACAAATGGAGACAATTAGTTGAAATCCCTTAAAGCGTAGTCGTGCGATTTTTTCCTTTTAAATGGAGCCGATGGTCAATGGGCAATTACCTGATAGCAGTCAGAGCACCGTGACCGGTGACCATGACAAAGGTAAAAAGATACAATAGAAGTTCTACTGATAAATAAAATGATAGTTATAATAAGCTAACTAAAAAAATTATAAAGTCTTCAAAAGCAAATTTCGCAAAAAAAATACCACATTGATAATATAAAATATATACGTACTATTCCCTGTCAGTCCCCAATCTTACAGCTATGTCTTGATACTCCTGCCTCGTTCGCGCTATGAGCTCAGGGCAACCAAGGGTGTTCAGCTGTGATGCTGCCACTCTAAAACAATATATTAGGTAGTAATGAAATTTTATAACAAACTAAAATTTTTGAATCAAGCTGTACTATTGGTTTAAATAAAATTAGGAACTGTAAAAAAAATCCTCGCCCTAAACTGTCATCACTACATAGTATAAAACAAAGTCGTCCCCTCTGTGTCTGTACCTATGTATGTTTAGATCTTTAAAACTACGAATCTTGATGCGGTTTTTTTTCCTAGATAGAGTGATTCAAGAGGAAGGTTTATATGTATAATACATTGCACCCGCGCGAAGCGGGTCGCTAGTGGTAAATAAGATAGATACATCTTTAAATTCCCGTACCTAGACGCCAGGGTCTCTCCAGGCAAAGTGACCACGGGTGTGCCGGTCCACAAAATGTCCATGCTGGTTGTGTGTCCGTTGCACAAAGGCGTGTCCAGGCACACATCTGCCAACTGTCCACGTCGCACGTGCTCCTCCTTGGCGGCCACGTTGGAAAATATGATTCGGCCCGGCGGGAGTCCTTTGTAACAAAGACATTATGTAAATATAATTACTACATTTTATTGGCGAAACCCAAAATAATTCTTCATTTATTTATAATTTTTTGGCTTGATCTTTCCAAATCATGTTCTTGTTTTAGCAAGAGTCTTAGTCAAGAGTTTAGCAATCTAGTCTTTTGTAATAGAGAGTTGTGTTTTAATATAAAAGTCGTGAGTACTGTTTCAAATTTGATCTTAAGAGATCTGTTACAATAAGAACATAATAGAAAACGAACGTAAAATATTCCCTTGAAATGAAGGAACGAGAGATTCCCTCAAATGCAGTTTGCAGGATTATAAGTTAAACAAAGCGTATAATAACGAGGTAATTCCCGACGTTCGTTGCTCTATCTTTGCAATTATTTTGTCTGTTTTTTACCACTTTACACATTTTTACTAACTCACCAGTTTTAATAATAAGATGAATGGTTTATTGAACGCAAGTAAATATGTTTACGGCAGTAAATATATTAGCTATATTTAGCAATGCAGAGAGTGATAGACTAGTAATCTGTAGTCGTCGGAATCGTATATAACACGCACCTTTATTTTCTTGTGGCGTGGGTTTTCTAATTCAGAATTCTGATATGAAAACAATACTGTATATTTGTACTAATAATAAATTAAACACAATGATTTTTTAAATGTTGTCCACGTGAAATTTATGTATGTAAAACGTCTCTAGAACAGGATAATGTTATCCTACAGTAAGGAAGTCATGTTTTGGAAGGGAAGACTACAATAGATTAGTTCTTTTTTAGTTCACAGATGTCGTTGGAACTTACTACCCAACCCCATATCCATAAAGACCAAGACCCAAGCCCAAGATCCATACCACGGCCACAGTCGCCTTCTTCACATTCAAATGTGTCTATCACTACTCGCTAGGTAGTTTTTCGAAAACAATCCTATTTACGTATACTGACCGACCAACATCTTAAAAAATACATTCGATTGCATAGTTCATGATTTTTAAATCCCAATGTAGCACCGCGTATTAACCGCGCCAGCCGACGCGTTGATTGCGTGAATGTTATGTTGCTTTTTGCTCAAGTTGTTCGCCGGTCCCACTAAAAGTAATGAAAAACTGAACAAGAAGTTGTGGAGAAATCAAGCCTGCCCCACTCACCCAATTGCTGCGCAGTTGACTGTAGGTTGGGCTCCCCTACGGCGGGGAACCTTAGGAGCCAGAGCACGCTGTTGGGCACGTGCTTCAGGATGTACACCCACATGTGCAGGGTCAGGGGGTCGATTTTGTACAGCTGGTTGAAGTTGCAGTAGACCACCGCGTCGTCAGGCAGCCCGTACTGCTGGCGGGTGGTGATCACGATAGACTGTGGCACTTCCTCGCCGGTGGCTGCTTTGTTGTTCGTTTGCGTCGTCGCCAAGCCGTTTTGCAATATCACCCCGTTCACCGATGTCTGCAAAAGCAATACTTTATAGAGTCAAATAAATACGAAAGTATCTGACAATTAGAAAGCCGCCCGACGTTATGCCGACATTTGTTGTTGACATTCAAACTCCATTCGTACGATGTATCATTAAGCTTGTAGCAGAAGCAACTGCGAAATAATGTGCTATATAAATTTTTCCATGTCTTTGATTATGGATGCGTTCAAAATTGGTATATATATAATAAACAGACCGAGCAAAAATAAGTATTTGCTTAACGTCAACGATTTTACTATCAAGTCATAGCAGTTACGCAGGCACTACACCGTTATTTATAAAAAAGTTGATTCTTGGTTTAACAACATATACAATAACTTCCAATATACATATAAAATCCCTCACCTGTATCTGTCCCGACGCGATCATCGTCTCAATAGGCGTGGTAGTTGGCAGCTCGGCGACTTTGAGGGAGATCTCCACGGGCCGGGCGGCGCGCACCACCTCTTTGATTTCCTTGATGTCGGTGTTCTCGACCAAAGGCGACAGGTCCGTCGCGTTTATTACGGCCACGTTGTCCGCCAGACCGCCGAGGTTGTTGTGCGACTTCACCTTGTCGCTGAGGATCAGCCTCTCCTGCAGATGGGGGAACATCTGCTTGTGGTCGCCCACGAAGTAGGTGTGGGGCATGTACGCGAGCTTCTCGCTGTACTGGCTGGCGAGCTCGAGGGGCGAGGTGACGGCGTCCGTTACGAGGTAGTCCATGTAGCTGGCGCCGCTGGTGCCCGGATAGCCGAGCCACATCACCTGCACGGGGGCGGGGCGGAGGGCGAATATCTCGTTGCGGGCGCCCTTCGTGTAGCCGTTCATGTTCACCAGAATGTGGATGCCGTCGCCGTAGATCTTGTCGGCGGCCTTCCCGTTGCACGGCACCTGCGACAGATCTATGAAGTGCTCCGCCTCGCGGGCGATCTTCGAGCGGAAGGTCGTGCCGTCGTCGGGGCTCAGCGCGTAGCAGAATATCTCCACCTTGGCGCGGTCGTGGAGGCCGGGCACGGACTGCATCAGGTGGGACGTGGGGTGGTTGCCGAAGTCGCTGCTCACGTAGCCGATCCTCAGGCGGCCGGACAGCTCGCGGCCGAACTTGTACTGCGCCTTGTGCAACACCTGCACCTTCTCCAGGCAGAGGTTGGCGTGGCGGGCGGCGATCGCTTTCCTGAACTCGTGCGTCAGCGGATACAGCATCGAGTGGTGGGGGTGCACCGACGGCAGCCTGTTCTTCTCCAGTTGCTCGGCCACGATGCTCACGAGCTTCTTCATGCGCGCCTCGTAGTCCGTCCAGTCGCAGACGATCTGCAGGCAATGCGCCAGGTTGCAGTACGCGTCGGGGAAGTCCGGCTTCAGCTTCAGCGCGGTCCTGTAGGACTGGATCGCTTCGGGTATGTTGCCGGAGTCCTTGTGGATGCTCGCTAGGTTGCTGTGCGCGTCTGCGAATGCGGGGTTGATTTGTATGGCGCGCGTGTAACACTGCAGGGCGCCCGCCACGTCCTGCATCTCTTTGAGCGTGTTGCCCATGTTGCTGTACGCATCGGCGAAGGTCGGCTGAATCCTGATCGCCTCTTTGTAATGCATGAGTGCTTCATTGAGCTTGCCCTGTTGCTGTAACACCGAGGCGAGGTTGCTGTGGGCGGCGGCGAATTCGGGGAACACTTCCAGAGCCTTCAAATAAAGCCTGGTCGCTTCCTCGATGTATCCCTGTTCACGTTTGATGTTTGCCAAGTTATTCAGCGAGTCTGCGTGAGACGGGCATAGACGTAGGGCTGTGTTATAGCATTCTTCGGCGTCGGCGACCTGTCCCTTTTCTTTCAATGCGTTGGCCAAGTTGCAGTATGCGTCCGGGAAATTTGGCTGCAGTTCTATCGCTCTTCTGTACGTGTCAATTGCTAGATCTATTAAGCCTTGCTCGTAATAGACGCATGCAAGGTTTCCGTGAACGACCGCATTGTTCGGTGACAGATTGAGTGCCCGTAAGTAAGCAGCGACAGCCCTGAGGATGAATTAACAAGAATTAATCATAAGTCAATAAAATCACGACAATGCCAGTCATAATTTCATTGTCTTACCTATCGAAAATTCTAGCTTCCTTCAGCACGTTGCCGAGATTGATGTATGCGTCCAAGAAATTCGGATCCAACGCCACGGCCTTCTCAAAGTGATGTATTGCCAACCAGATCTCACTTTGCGCGTTAAAAACGCATCCCAAGTTACTCCATGCCACTGCAAAGTCGGGCCTCGTTTCGATGGCCTTCAAGTAACAAGCCTACGCACAGGGAAAAACTGCATGTTAACATCGGTTGGGCGCTGCGATTTTCACACCGACCAAATACAGAGATGTTCTTTACGCAAGAGAATGAATTTACACCAAGGCTTTGAGTGGCGATGGGTGGCCGTAATCGGTAAAACAAGTGGCGACCGATCACCATTCAAATTCTGCTGTGGATTTTACGCCAAATGCGCCCTAACATACGCTACGCTTAGTGCGAGAGACATCAGTAGGAAATGCAAACGACATGTCCCGTCGTGGCCGCAAACGATACGATGGTAACTTGAAACGAGCAGAATAGCAAACGGTGCGAGGGGAGCAACCGAAACGGACGCTTCCACTTCCTAGCCGATGCAAGAGGACGGTCTGGACAATGAGAGAACAAGTGCACGAGATGTATCCGTAATCCTGTCCAAAACAATTTTTCTGGCAAACCTTTAACACATTACCTTCGGGACACGGTACGTTGTCGTCGCGGCGGGATAGCGACTGTTGTACCAACTGTTACACAGCACCGGTCACACCTACTGTCTTACCAGACAACACCTTGTGAAATAATAACAGAATTAGTTGATTTTGAGTCAAACTATTTCACCCGTTTCACGTCTATACAATGTTATTTGGAATGCAAAGCAAATGTTCGTGAGTCGAGAGGATCATTGTCACTCGCGCTGTCATCGAGCAGAGTGTTAAAGACAGGCATGATGCGGATGACAAAATCATATAGTACAAATAAATATAATACACTACGTCACATTGCTAAAGTAACATATGCTACTGACTCCTCTGATCCTCCATTGCAATGTATAAGTAAGAGATCACTACAAGCACAAGGATTAGAATAAAGTGAACTTTTGAAGGAAACAGGACATTATTATTATAAAACAAAAACAAATCCACAAAATTACTATCAGCGTACTCTCTCTTTAGACTTCGATCTTCCACACAGCGTCATATGTATTTGATTCTGTTTTAATGATTCTCTGAAAGAAGACGTTAAGGTCATAAACATTAAAGCAATTAAAAAAGACTACGCAATCTGGCGACACTGTGTGGAATATCACAAATATTGATACGCATAAAACGCCGTCACAAAATATTAAAGAAAACTCTCAATTCGACGCTTTAGTGTTTCGTGACCATGTTAACCTAATATGGAACAAATTGGCGAACGAATAATACTCGTATGCGAAAACGTCACGCGCCATTCGCCAATTTGATCGCATAAGACGTAATAATGGTTTAAACAAGCGCGCGTAATACAAAGTTCGGTTTACTTCTAGACGAAAACATCGGGCAAAACAATCGTGTTGAAACCATTATGATGCGACGCAGTGCCGTGACCAAGACAATAAGAACTACGCAATAGCTCGGTACGCTGACAAAACAGAGAGTACGCCAATTTGATGTCGCACAAAGGGAACAGCGGTAGAGTCCTGTTAGCTTCAGGGCAAACCAGAAAGCGGACGAGAAAATTCCATTTACCTTCGCCTCGTCGAGACGCCCGAGAGCCTTGAGCAAATTGCCCAAGTCGCTCCTTACGCAGTAAAGTTCCTGCGGAAGTAATGAGATCAGCTTTATTGTTGTTACAAAAAGCAACATAACAACATTTACATTTAATACGTACTCAATGATATGAGCAAATTTAAGAAAAATTAAAATGGGCCTACTGATTTAATTTTTTTATAGTTATAAAATCAAAAAAATGAACATTAAATTTGTAGAAAAAGTACGAAAACATTGTCACCGCTGGGAAATCGAATCCATGCCTTAGGCATTCATCGCGGCCTGACGTTTTAGCCACTAAGCTAAACGGCTGATTGCCACACCGACGAAAATTCTTAACGTCTTTTAACTACATTTATGTACAACGATAAATCGAACGTATTTTTACGAAATTATTTTTAGAACACATTATTCTTAAGTTCTAATCATAACAGTATCCAATTTGATATTTTTACAATTTCAATGGAACCAGACCTAATACAGAATCAAACAATGGGATAAAATTTTCGCTCCAAATACGTCGTTCGTCAGCAGTTTAATGGGGAGGGTACAATATCCGAATCTCCTCGTAATAATCAGAGTGTATCACAGCGAGGATCGAGTCTAATGAATATACGTTAAGAGAGATCAGAGGCAACGCGCGGCACAAACGAGACAATAGGTAATTGTCGTAGGCGGAAATTAATTCCGTCGTCGAGCGACGCTCAAGGTTGTAAACGTTATCTAAGGTATAAATTTGAGATGCCTCATTTTTACCGACGACGCCTTTTACGGTACGATCGCGGACGTGTCATAATGTTAAACGAATGGGCATTTGTTTTTTTGACAGCCAAAGTCTGAAGAATTTTCCATCTTTTTTGTCGGCGCAATATTATTTAGGATTGCTTCAAATTCAAAACACGTTAAAAAAAATGTTCATCTTTAAACATTTTAAAGATAACGATCGACTGTATTATTTAGGGATTATGTATATTATATGAGGATGGATATTTATTTTTCTTCACTATGGGTTACATTATTGAAGTTTTAGTAGGAATCCCTAATTTTTGCTAGTAATTAATATAGCCTATATTACTCAGGGATAATGTAGCATTCTAATGGTGAAAGAATTTTTAAAAGCGAGTTTATTCATTACAAACATACAAAAATACAATCGGAATCTCTGAAACGGCTCCAGCGATTTTTATGAAATTTAGGATGTGCGTAGATTCGGGGGCGAAAAATCGATTTAGAAGCTAGGTTTCGTTTTTAGAAAATATCCTTTTATCCCTGTTCTCAGGGAATGAAAAATATCATTCGAATATGACAGTAAATTTCGCCACAAAAAAAAAATGTTCTAATAGCTCGCTCGGCGTTTCGTATCACGATCATTTACACACTTATTTTTCTATACCAAATCATTTTCTTTATTTTCTATTTTTTTATTTCCAAAATACATGATTAACCAAAAAAAAACCGAACAAAGCTCGGTCCTCCAGGTACTATAATATTATATAGTATGTACATAGTGTAGATTTGACCCTGTTTTAAATTCAAAATAAATTATTGACACAATTTAATGATTGTGAGTTTAATGGATAGATAGTTTTTATATTTTTTTTTATCTTAAGTTAATCACAGCATTGTATACATGTATATCTGCACATTTTTAACTATATCAACAAGTAATAGCATTGATAAATGCGATAATTTATTCGCTCGCTTTTAATTTTGTATACCCCAGTTAAAATACCCGTGCCGGCAACAATGAAATTATGGCAATTCTGAATTATTTAAGGAAAAATACTTAAGCCGAGCGAAATCTACCAATCCACTCTTGATTCGCGCGGTGTACTATCACTACATAGTATAAAACAAAGTCGTCCCGCTGTCTGTCTGCCCTATGTATGCTTAGATCTTTAAAACTATTCAACGGATCTTGATACGGTTTTTCACTAAATAGTGTTAGATAGTAGATTGCACCCGTGCGAAGCCGAGGCGGGTCGCTAATATATACAGAAAGAAGGTTCAGTACCTACGTTTACATTAAAGACTTTATTGTGTTGTGTAAACACTAAAAATACTCAAATTGTTTGCATATTGCATTGTTTTAGTTTTTTAACGTATGTATTAAATAAGGTAATAAATTACCTTTATGGCTACAGAATTGAGATTACTTTGTAGTTATATAATTTTCGCATCTGTACATGGACATTTTTCACAACTCACGGCTCGATTGTCATTATGATAGTTGTTAATGTGTTCTATGTATGGGCTTATTTTGTTTATAAAATTTTATTCACTTTAACACAACCATGAACAGAACCAACAATATTCGATGAATGTATAATGTTCACTCGAAAAAATACTGGGCTTGTGGAAGTACATATTATACAATTTTTTTTAATGTGAAAAAGCTGCAAAAGAGCTGGCGGTTCACCTGATGTTAAGTAATAACCGCCGCCCATGGACATTTGGAACAACCGTAGGGTTGCAAATGTGTTGCCACCTTAAAATAAAGTGGGCCCGGCTACCTCAATCACCAGAAGAAACGCAGAAGTGTAACACTTCTACTTTACGCCAGTCTTCTGTGAGGTTGTGGTACTTACCCGGATGGACCTGCCCATTTGTGCAACAGTGAAAACTGTTGCATAGCCCCTGGCCCTACCACAGTTATATTCAGCTAAAGAGTAGTAGAGAAACAGGACACTTGAGAAACTGCCCTTTGTTGACACTTGTCCTATAAAACAACCCTCAACAAACAGTCAGAGCGACCATAGAACAGGAAAAACCCTATATACAATGCATGAAAACCTCTTTAAGAAAACTAATGTGTCAAATGCTTTTGAAGCCTTCAAGACATCAACAGATCAAGTGCTATAGCTAAGGTTTACAAGGCCCCAATGTGTAGCATACACTACAAGATCCCTAATAATATAAATAATTACTCCTGAAGCTTTCTTTGAGGCTGTTCATTTCTTTCAATCTACTTGTTAATTTATTTCAATCTGTTCTATTCCATTCACTACCCATTAAACTTTTGCAATATTTTAAAGTTGCTTCTTTGCTAGAAGTAATAAGTTGTAGATTTATAGAGATCAAATTTGTAATGAATTTCATTTAGTATTGAGTATTCAGCTTACTTGATGTATTGACATGTTTTATTGTAATAATAGGTACAGTAAAAATATTAACTTTTTTTCTATAGTATAATAATGCACTTTTCTTGTAATCCATTAAAGTGTTCATGGAGACATAACTTTCCTATTAAATAAATTAATAAAAACTATCTATCTATCAGATAATTATCAATAGACATGAATTATCATAATTTAAATTTAGAAGTTGAAGCATGAAATATAAATGCATTACTCATAAAGTTTTTTTTAAAAATAATTTACAATAAATAAAAAGTTATTTAAAAAAAGTTGAACTGCTTGGATATAATTTTTAATTTGAAATATGTTATAACTACACATTTAATCAAGCCAGATGTTCGAGAAATACGCTTATGATTGAAAAACAGTTATTGCCGTAAAGTTTATATGGCCAAGTTACAATAATGGGCAAAAAAGTATGATATGCTAAAAACTGTATATCACGTAAAATTAAAAACATCATAGCATGACTGGATGCATCCTATAGTGATTGCCGTAAACTTTGCATGGCCAAGTTACAATAATGTACTAAAAAAATTATGATGCGCTGAAAACTCTATATCAAGGTAAATTAAAAACATAATTGCATGACTTAATGCATCCCACAATCATTGCCTTAACCTTTACATGACCAAGTTACAATAATGAACAAAAAAGTATGATGCTAAAACTGTACATCGAGAATACGTCCCATGTTTGTTATACATAGATTGAATGTTGTCACAGTTTTTTTACATGGTAAGTGTTGAGTTGTAAGTTTATTTTGTACCGATAGATGGTGCTAATTGATAAAGCGAAAATCGTTAGATCGTGATGTTGAGATTATTTGTATTTTTGTGACCTCCGACCATTGAACATACATTGGAGGAGGGATACATGTGTTATTTGTAATAGTTTATAAGTGCACAGTATTAAAGGGAGGTTTTGAAGCAATACGGGTTTTTTGTTCCTCAACCCCGATTCAAAGCCTCATCAACATCAAAGGTCTCTGGTTGTACAGAACAGGCTAAACAGTAAGGTTACCGTAAGAAATCACAAGAAAAATTTAGCCTACAAAATAGTAAAATGTATGATGTGCATCAATTATCATAAAAATAAAAAACCCAAAAGCACACTTAGATTATTTAGACTATTTAAAAATTTTGTAGCCAGTTTAAAGAATGTAAATGTATTGTAAGAATGTAAACTTACAGGATTATACTGGAGGGCTGTAACATATGCTTGGACAGCTTGCTCCATGTCACCAGCTGCCACAAGAGCAGCAGCCAAGTTAATGTATCCATCAATGAAGTCTGGCTTTAGTCTCACTGCATGCCTATAGTTCTCTAGTGCCTCTTGCAATTGTCCGCGCTCTTTGTAAACATTACCAAGATTGCTAAAAATAATGTATCAGGTAAGATTGTTGTCCAAAGTAAAAATTGTAACAAACAATGAATAATAAAGTATAATTTTATATCTATTATTAAAAGTTCAAAGAACTTTTCTGATTCAACCATCTTCATTTATGGCCACTGTTAATATAAAATAGTGTTTACAGTGTGAACATGAAAACAGATACATTCATTTAATGATTAATGAAGAATTGATTGACATGATAATTGAAGGATTATGTTAGGATGTTCAATACACTGCTTAAACAAAAATGTATGATGATCACACTATGGCATTTTTAACAATAGAATATGAAACCATTACATATATGTTTATAAGTGATTCAAATACAATAAAATAACTGACAAATATTCTCTATTTGTTTTAAATAATCTTAGACACAGCTAGAGCTTTAAATGGTGTACAAATTTTAACATTAAATGAGATAAAAATTATTACCTGTAAGCCTCTGCCAACAAAGGATTTTGTTTAATAGCGAGAGTTGAAAAATGCGCAGACTTATCCAGTCGGCGACATTGAAAATGAATTGAAGATAGGAGCAGTAATACTCCTGTGTTGGTGCTATCTTGACGCCATAACTGCATACAATGCAGCTCTGCACTGTCATAGTCTCCTGCTTGGTACTCTCGATGGGCTAATTCTAGAAGCCCTAAAACAAATATCACTTTAATCGTGTGCTTCATATAATATTTATACGTAAAAACCAATCAAGTTGTAGTTATTCTTTAGCAAATTGTCTTACATTACCAAATTTATTCTTTAGTTAAGTCATTGAAATATGAAATGAAGTCAAAGGTTACTTACCAACTGTAGATATTTGTGTGATGTCCGACATTTTAAGTATCACAGCATTTGCTGGAACGCCGACTATTTGTTGAGGTTGCGTCGTGACAGATTGTGGTACTGCTACATTAGCTTGAGGTTGCATTTTGGTTATCATATTTCAAACACATTAATCGTCACAAGGTACAAGAAAATACGCAAATCCATCAAAGAAGAAAAAATATTTGTTAGTACTTTTCCATTATAATTTTCCACACCGAATCTCCTATCACCATCACCACCCTCTTCAAGCAAAGCAATGCGACTCCAAATGCGATTCATACAACGCGGAAATTATTGAGTACCTAGCATATTAGTATATTGAGAATTGAGTTGAATACGGATGCATAATTGTCTGTGGTTGCATCCACCCGTTTCCATACTATTTTCATTTTTTGTTACTAAATCTTTAAATAACATGAACCCTCAACAATAATTAATTAACATTTAATGAGTTCTGAAATAAAATACATAACTCATTTAATTTAAAAGCCACTGCGAACACTACAAACGTATTATAAATGTATTCTTGTACATTTCCGTTTCCTTTTGACAATGGAATATTTACTACATTACAGACTACATAAGTACTTTTTTTTTAAATAACTTCAATAGTTTAAAAATATTTTTTTAACCAACGTATCGTAATAAACTTAAATAATAATATGCTTTCTTATCCAAAAAAGGTATTAAATTCATTTGTATAATGCCCTAACTGTAAACAGATCATTCATTCCTTGAAAACAGGAATAAAAGGACATTTTCTAAAAATGAAACAGCTAGATCGATGCTTGGCCCCCGAATCTACGTACATACTAAATTTCATGAAAATCGCTGGAGCCGTTTCCGAGATTCCGATTATATATGTATATATATACAAGAATTGCTCGTTTAAGGGATAAAATAATAATAAAATAGGCAATTGAATGATGATGATCTAATCAATTCGATTGCAAGTCTCGACGAGTTGGATGTAGATAAAATGCTTCCACTGAAAAGTTTGGGTAAGTTTAAAAAATTTAAAAATTCAAGTAGGCCAGTGTGGTTAAAGTTTACTTGAGTCGTAACGAGGACAAAATGGAAAATACATTGCAAGTGTTGTACAGGCAACGAGAGGCGTTTAAAGATACATATGAACTTTTTGCATCTGTGGCGACCATAGGATTTAGCACTGCAGTCTGCGAATCTACGTTTTCAACTTTAACTGCAATCAATAGGCCTCAACACGTAGTGATTACATTCTCTTTGGGCCTCAAAGGCTGTCAATGGGTCACGAGAGAATGGCTGGTATGGTATTACTGGCCTTTGGAAAAAAAGGACAAAATCAGTTGATCTGAACGAAGTTCTTCGCATTTTTAATAACATGGCGAATCGAAAAATTCAGCTGTTTTAAATATTTTTATTATTATGTTAATTATTATAATAGGTCTGCAGAAACAATTTGATATGTGGTATTTTTGGTCGTATCATCTCATCCAAAAATTAATTATTACCTCACTCTCACTCAGACGTGGATCTCTACATCCAAAGCTGGAAGTTCAACCATCTTGTTCGCTTATTCTTCATCATTAAGGATTTAATAGTGCTTATATCCATGCTCAAGTTCTGTCACAGAAATTATTTGTCTACGAATAGCTATTGAACTGACCTAGAGGTCAGTGATATACATGATTATTGATTTAGGAGCTCATGCTAGTTGGGGCAAATATCCCTTTATGGCCAACCGCTCCCCTGGGAGAAAAAGGTCAAATACTTAGGAGTCACTTTCGACTCGCGTATGTCATTTAATACGCATATTAATAACGTTCGCAATAGAGCCGCGTAAACACAACGCGTAAAAACTTAAGGCACAAATTATTATTATATAAGACCTGCGTACGATCTATTATGTCCTACGCATGCATGACCTTCGCCCACACGCACCCTACTCTCGCTTGTACAAGTTGCAAATAGTACAAAATAAGTTCATCCGCCGCGCAACCGGTACGCAGTGGTATCAACGTAACGTCGACCTGCACAGCGATTGCAGACTCCCGACGATTCGCGAATATTTTAAAGACCTGACCAAACTGACTTCGATAGAGCCGAACATCATCCCAACCCTCTGGTGGTAAGCGCAGCAAGTTACCAACCCGACACAAACGCGAACGTCAACAAGCGTCGCCCGCGAAACGTCCTCATCGACCCGAGCTACGAAGAGGACTTAGAATCGATGGACCTACCGCCGGGGGTCCCGCCGGATAACACTACACCCACAGTTAGTGCAACAACAAACACACTAGTTCGCCCTCGCCTCTGAGCACAGCGAGACCAACACAACGCGTACACAAGGTAGACCCGCGTTCCGGAGCGGTTCTCACCGCTCCCAGCCACCGATTAGCTAATTGCACAGTCGACGGCCATCGGGGTTTCGGTCCGAACCGCGACCTCGATGGCCCTTAGATGACACACCATACTTAAACGCACTTATGAGCACATGCGTGGCCCTACCCACAGCGGAGGGCCCAAACCCGTGGGTTCTTGCTAGCCCACCGGTTCCGCGTCAGATGAAGCTTTAATAGCAGCATAATTTAAAAGCAGTCTCGGGACTGAAAGTAAAAACATCAGTTAATACAAGATACAAGAAGGAGCTCACTTCCGCCCTACCTGTAATCAATGCTGCCCTACCTCAAATTCAACTCTAGCTACAGCCCTGGTCCTAGGTTGCGTGAATCGGTGAAGTTTGTTTGTGGTTAATGTAACACCATGTTAAGTTGTCCAAGGTGGTCTGCGATATCGTATGTGAATTTTTTGGAGACGATTTTAAAATTATACTTAGAAGGTTTAAGAGGCCTTAGCACTTTAGTCCGTCTTCTAGAACAGCTGGCAAAATTTAGAGAGCCCACTAGACTTTGTAGCTCTTCGAGTGTCGTATGTAGTTTTCTTAACATCAGTAAATGTACACGTCTATCTTTACGTACAGGCATAGAGATTTTGTCTTTATGCATGCATTTCATGTTCGATTAGGGATACCATTGAATCCCTAGAAAAGTAATATTTCTTAGTGTTGACGAATTGATTTCTTGTAATTAATGAGACATCCCAATTTTGTACGAGTTGATAACAGTGCTAACATGATTTTAGAAAAACTTTTCGCTTTTTTGAGATATATATAATTATCCTAATGTCCGCTTCTCTCAGTATTTGTGGTATCTAATTCGTTCAGTGGCAAAAATTTCGGGAGCAGTGCTTAAGCCGAAAGGTAAACATGACATTTCCAGCAGCTCCTTTCGATATATAAGACACGAGAACTTCTGTGGCCGCGAGTTACACGATGAAGAAAATACGATTGAGACAGGTCAATTTTGCACAGCCAGCCTTTGGTTGCAACGAATCTAGTATGCGATGAACATTTTTTAATTTATTTTTTCGTTTTTCATGTAATTGATTACGGACTTTGAAGATCGACCGATATGGCTCTTCTGGACAACGAACATCGATGACAGAAACCTTGGTGCCACTACTTGAAACTTTTTTTAAAATCAAAACTGGCCTGCACTTGACTACCATCCCACCTGATGGTAAGTGGCGATGCAGCCGATGGTAATGGTAAGCCATTCCTTAGCTGTGCGGATCAGAGAGAAAATCGCTAAGTTTACGGTACGGATGATAAATGACGATGCGTCGATACGATACTTTGTAAACGGTATCATTTTCGCAAACTTTAATATTAAATGGATCGTAGAATGTCAAGGACAGTGGCGTGTAGCGGAGCACAAGTAGCACAAGCCAGTGGCGGGCTCCAGACAAATGGTTGTTTACACTACAACAAGTCCATTGGCATTTCTAGGATCTGTCGAAATGGACGAGCAACGTCATAAAATACGTTGTTTTTGTTGCCTGTTGCGGGCCACTGTACTGTGTAATTTGTTGGTTTACACTACGGCAAGTGACGAGTCAAGTACCCACCCTGCAGGGGGTTAAGCGCGAGGGGTGTACTTCCACCTGATCTAATTGCAAGGCAGCTTACAAAACTTTACCAGTGTAAATCGGGCTAGTGGTGAAAATTATTAACAAGGCTTTTAATTCCTAAAAAAGGTTTCTTTTAAGGTATTAAGGTACATATTATTATCAATATAGACAAAACTTAAAGCTTATAATTTTTATTTATTTGTTTAACTACCAAATTACATCTGTTCAACATGTCTTCAATATAAATTTGTTGATAAACATTTAATTAAGGACGGGTAACATATCACATATAATTCACTTTTTGTTTCAAATTATGTATAACCCTCAAGAAAAAAATGAAGAAACATATATCCATAAAAATATCAGATATATAATATTTAGGCTTTACAACCAAAAAAAAAAAACAGTTATAATTTTATATCTAATTAATACAGTTATTATCTTAGTGTTTAGAACTAAACATATAGACATTAGTATTAAACAGTAAGAGTAAATCTTAAATGTGAGTTTAAGACGAAATAAAGGGTGGGAATTAAAAATAGATATAGATAAAATATTATTACTGCCGCACTGTGCCCGACAACGGAGCCATCAGTGGGAATTGGGACTATCAATGTGTGCATACTTCATGCCCTTACCGTAGATTACAAAAGCATATCAAATTACGATAAATTAGGAAAGTTTTGTTGGAAGTTACTTGCTATCTTTACTAATACATCACATTTACGCCGCCATGGACTAACAAAAAATCAAACTACTGCATTGCTTATATTTAAACATTTGCCTTTTCTATAGCATTGCACACAGAAACAAAAGGGAAGACACTTTTAAAACTGTTACTTAAACTTTCGGGAGGTTATTATGATAAGTGGAAAAAATAGGCATTATTTTTTTTTTCATTTAAAGCATGAACAGTAATAAAAAATACAGTTGGCCATTTTTTCATGTGATAAAGTGGCAAACGAGCTAGCGTTTCACCTTATGTTAATCGATAACCGACGCCCATGGACTTTTGGAACACCCATAGGGTTGCAAATGCGTTGCCACCATTAAATAATGTGGGCCCTGGCTACCTCACTCATCAGACAAAACGTAGAAGTGTAACATTTCTACTTTATGCCGGTCTTCTGTGAGGTCGTGGTACTAACCCGGACAGATCTGCCGTAAATCATAAAATCATATACTTAAATATTTTTTATTTTCCCGTTACACGCTGAACATATTTATGAGGAACACATTTTACACTCCCACACTAGACAGACACACTCACAATGAGTTATCTTACTGACTCATTCCGATTTGTTAACTGCCCACAAATTAAACTCACATTTAAATTTCAACTTAAGTGCAGAATAGCACCAAAAAAATTTAAATAAGTAATATAAGACTATTTTCATACAACTAATACTGATATTGGAAAATTATTTGCACTTTCAACTTATTCTAAATATGACAGCAGATGAGCAATTTCGTTGAGATCTTGAGGGACGGATTCATGGTAGCATACATACAGCTCCCGGGGTTCTGGTTCACTGAAGACTCGGCTGTGAAATAAAAAGTATAGAAAAATAAAAATAAACTATAAAATATTACATAATGCCTATTATTACATTTCAAAATAACCGAAAACAAAATCCAACAATTGTGAATAGAGTCACTTAGACAATGTTAGGCACCAGCTGCAGTTAGGACTGATTCCTCAATGCAGTTGTTTAAACAATATAAACATAAATCTCCATAGACGGCGGTGAATGCGTCCCATCGGGATTGCTAGTTTATCAAATCCTCTTTATAAAGATAAATGGAGGTTATTAAGTAATTTAAATTGTTTATAGTGCTAATCTTTGCACTTAAGATTGAACATTAAAATATGTAGAACAAGTGCGAAAAGATTGTCGCCGCTGTGGGAATCGAACCCACGTCTTCGGCATTCGCGGCCTGACGCTCTAGCCACTGAGCTAAACGGCTGATTACCACACCAACGAAAATCTTAACGCATTCTTCCACATTGTTTTCTTAGCATTTGAAGCAATGCTTGGCGCCATCTATTGTTATATCCTTTCCAGCATACAAACAACTTCGAATATCCATGTCCCACAGCTGGGCAAAGGCCTCCTCTATACAGGGGGTCTCAGGGCATAGTCCACCACGCGGCCCCACTGCCGATTGGCGGACTTCGATTGACCTATCTTCGAAATATTTTCTTTTTTGTTATTATTTCGAAAATATGCAGGTTTCCTCACGATGTTTTCCTTCATCGCGGAGCACGTGATAAGTCAGCACTTAAAGTTAAAAACTTCATTGGTGCCGGCACCGGGGATCGAAGTCAGGTTGCTAGAGTATATATTTAATTAAAGGCGAGCGCCCGGTCTCTGAGCTATCACGGCTCACGGACGTTTATTACGTACGCTTTATATAAAAAACTACCACTAAACTAAAATCAGTTACTTCTTTCATTTAAAAATGATGAAAATGATTTCTTATGTCGATGCCATGTTAAAAATAAATTTTTAGGGTTTTACTTTTGATAGCTTTCGTTTTTAATGATTAAGTGATCCGTAAATTACTTTAATTTAAAAATAAATTTTAAATTTTTCGTGCTAGGCTCTGCGCATAAGATGAATCTTAAAAATGTGTAGATACAACTGTCACATTTTTTGTTTTATTTTAGGACGTGGCTTAATGTCAACAGCGTCTGGACGCGTAGTTCGGAAGGCGCAGGTTCGAATCCTGGCAGGGGCGAAACATTTTGTTACTGTTTTATCTACAAATCCTTACTAAAATTATAAGGATGTTTGTTACTCTTTCACACAAATACTACTGAATGGATTTTAATGAAACATTACAATAATATAGCTTATACATCAGAATAAGACATAGGCTATAATTTATATACATATTTTATGTATATCTGTCTTTCTGTCTTAATGTTAGCCCTTCAGCCTATTCTACGCAGACGTAGTCGCGGCCGGCAGCTAGTGTTTAAATAAATTATTAAATTAACATAGGACTTTACAATAAAACAGGAGCAAAGCTGGAAAATATACATTTAAAAATTGTCAACGCATACACGCGTTGTGTAGTTTTGATCGCTACAAAATTATTTTGAACAGAAAAATAATATTCAGCAATATATTCATACCCAACTACCCAAAACAAAAATGGCTCGGCGTTCTTCTTACTGACACCGCATTGGCTCAGTACCTCCTGGGGCGCTTCAAACAGCATACTGTATTCCCGGACAGCGACGAGAATTTTATTTAACGGATTCGAAGGGGCGTGGTTCTTCTTAAACCTGAAAAATGAAAAATAAATATTCATCATTATTCCTTAGAAAGTATAATACTTAAGAAAGAAAACAAACAAGAATACAAAAAGTAAGAGGCGAAGACTGTGAATAACAAACCCAGCTATTTAAAACCAGGTAAAACTTGTATAGAATTAGGTACACTCCTGTGGTTAAGATAAAAAGACATGAATATAATATTTGTATTTTGTGTGGAAGAACACATTTATGTATAACATTGATCTGTTTTATATGTATGTTTTCCATACATAAATTTCACATGGACAAACACCCAGATTCGTTATCTGTAAGAGTCTTGTGTGGGAATCGAACCAACGACCCCCGGCGCCGAAGCCGAATACCCTGGCAACAGCGCCACACAGTCCTCATGGATATAATAAGAGTAAAAAGAACTTGCAACATTATAATATGTATACCTTAATATATAGAATTAATGCATAAATACCTAAAATAAGGATATACCGGAAAAAAAATACGTAGTTCAAAATTAATTCTGGGAAAAAAACTTACTTTATACTACATTGCAACAATTCGTGTATCTTTTTACATGCTTGTCGGAACGTTCTGACAATGAACGAGTACAAAATGTTATTGGCCTGTATTTCGACGCTCTTTACGGGCGCTATCAGGACCCCTTTCTCGGATTCGAGCTGAACGAAATGGAATAAGACGTTCTCATCGCCCGCCGTTATTCTGTAGAGAAAGAAATTAGTATACACTAATAAAACACTTAAAATAGAAAAAATGTTACGCTACGCTTTTAGATTCTGACATTTAAACACCATACTCATAATCGTCAAAATAGTCGTTAAATAACATACATGGATTATTTTCGGCCTTGGATAGTAAAAAAACATTTCTTTTTATGGGTAATTGAACTGCCCCCACCTGTGAACGGTGACGTGGTTAAGTTCGTTCAACAAACTTTTCCTGATGTCTGTCATGTCCATATTACCACTGGCTCTGCTCGTATCCTAAAGTGATTAAATGAGAAATTAAAAAAGGAATAAACATATTTATTTATATATTTGTATATAACATATATGTTTGTTATTGGTTTCAGCCTCTCTGAACATCTGAGGCGAATGGGAGGGACTCTGGGACGGATCGCTCAGAGCTCAAATGCAGAAAGCAGTGCTCCTCGATACCGCCCGCATCGTCCGCCGGTTTCTCTCTCTTTCACCCTAACCCTCGGCCGTTTGGCCTCCCCTTCCGAGGGCTTCCGTCTGATAGGGTCCTATTTATTTATGTTTTATATATAGTATTTGACGGTAGCTGACATTTACTGCAAGAAATAGACAGCGATATTATGCGCTAGCAGCACGTGCACCGCACGCTTGGTAGCACGCATTTTCCAACGAATGCGTGTCGGTGCACGGACTGCTGTCTCAGTACGAGTCTCTGCCCCCCAACTCAGCCATTAACTGGCTGGTGTATAATCTCGATCTATTGTTTAAACTGTATTAATATAAATTGTGTGTCTACCTACTGTAATATCATTGCTGATTTAGTGTCGGATCATTTATTAAGTCATTAGTAAGGTTTAAATTAATAAAACATTTCATAACCGTATCCATCCTTGTCTTTTACTTCGGATGTCTGAGCATATCCTGACATATTTTTAGCCATATCTTTATTTTTTATTTATAAACCCAACAAGGCGAGAAAACAAATAAATATCCCCAAAAATCCTCTAAATGTCTCTCAAAATCCTATAATATGTTTCAGTATTGTATTATATTCTGTGAAAAAATATATATTACGCAAAAATATTGTATTTCAGTAGGATGGATCAATGTATCTATGTAACAATATATTTTTGTAAGTAACACATATTACAATTATTTACTTAATGCTGTGAGTACTATATTATTATTTAAAATATGATAACGCTTATATTTAAAATATAATCATCACAATAAATGTTTATTTCCTTTTAGTTGTACAATTAGAACCCATACAAATACATAGTAATGTTTCAAATTACTACAATAGAACAATACCATCCGACACCTTAATAGGTTGTGAGAACCTGTATTTCGGCTTTCGGCGCCATTCTCCGTCTCAAAAAAAAAAAGACGATGCGTGCTTGCGTCCGTGCATGCGTGAGGATTTAAGTGTGTGAGTGTGTGAGTTAAATGACTTAATACTCGTTTATATGCATAAACATATTGCCTTTTACATCACTTTTTTGTTCATAGGTACGAGAAATAGTGAGCAACCTGTCTGTCCCAGTCGGAGTCAGAGCCCGAGGAGTCTCGACGGCATTTCTGCTCCCTGTCTGCTCGCCTTCCCGCCACTCTCTCTTCGCTGATCTCACTGAAAGTCATATATATACGAAGAGTCAGAATTAAAATGATTTCTTTTTATAGTGCTTTTCTTTGCACAAACCGTGAAAATTTAAAGCTTTCCTTCTTTGATTCTCCAAGATTTGCTTCAAATGTAATTTTTGTATACTTTTGTACAAAATTAAAACGGGGCAGAGTATTAGAAAGTTTCTAATATGGGTTCAAATAACGATTACCATTATACGGCTTTATTTCATGAGCTGGTTACTGAGTGGGTTGCTGACCTGATGGTAAGTTAGAACTGCCATACTAACATACTAAACCAGAAATGCAGGTATGGTGCTAACCACACAAAGTGTGAGCCTCTGGTGAGCTAGGGATGTCAACCATAGAAAGTATATATTAGGTACATACATATATCTATTGCTGGTATTATATGTTTCATACCATATTCTGTGCAAAAATATATAGTACGCAAAAATATTGTATTTCAGTTGGATGGATCAATGTATCTTTGTAACAATATATATTTGCAAGTAACAAATATTTTACTTCTTTACTTAACGCTGTGAGTACTATATTTTTATTGCTTAAATTTAAAATAAAATCAGAATAAATGTTGGCAACTCCATGGTGGCAACCTCATTCACCGGACGAAATGCAAAAGTATGAATTTGACTGCTATAAACTAGTAATTACAAGGTACTACAAATATTGAATATGTGTTTTACCTGTTGCTCTTTACACTATTGGAGTCCTCCGAATAAGCAATGTCCAAGTTACTGGAATGCCTGTAGTTCTTCTGGGCCGTGTACCACGGGCTGTGCAGGCTGTGGTGGCTCGCGCTGTGGTAGCTGTTCATGTGGCCGTCGGAGGAAGAGGGACCCGCGTTGATTTGGTCCGTCGAGTTGTGGCGCCTCTTCAGATCCGGCTGAGACTTTGACAGTTTCAACGTGGCCCCCTTTGGCGCATCCGACTTGGCAGCTGGAAGAAAATCGAACAGAACTAAACGAAGATATACTGAAATTTACCATTTTTTTTATGTGAGAAAGTGGCGAACGAGCTGGCGGTTCGCCTGATGTTGTGACGCCTTGTTAATTGATAACCGCCGCCCATGAACAGTTGCAACACCGTAGTGTTGCAAATGCGTTGCCGCCTTTTGATAAAGTGGGCCCCGACTACCTCACTCACCAGACGACGGTCTTCTGTGAGGTCGTGGTACTTCCCTCCGGGTCACAAGGCCAGGGCAAGTCCCTGGCCTTGTGACCCATTCGTGCAACAGTGAACACTGTTGCAATGACCTATTACAGTCAATCCCAATCATAATATTACCTATGCAATGGCCGTTTTGTATGAAATAAGTTAGATTATTAAAATTTGTAGAAAAAGTATGAAAATATCGTCGCCGTTGTGGGAATCGAATCCACGTCCTCGGCAGAAGACGTACTTTTTCTACAAAATTTTAATGTTCAATCTTAAGTGCAGTGATTAGCACTATAAAAAAATTTACATTTGTGAGTTAGATTACTTTTTTTTCGATATTTTTCATTGCTGTTACTCAAAGTGGTAGTTTATTGATGCCCTTCTTGTAAAAATCAGCTGGATGGGATGCAACAAACTCTTCAAAGTCATTTTGAATTGCCTCTCGGGGTTCGGTAAGTGCAAGGTCTGGTGAATATGGCGGATGACGGAGAGCTTCCAACCCCAACTCTTGCAGGTTGGACTGTCTGTTGTGCAGTATGGGCTCCCCCGCGTTGTCGTGAAGGTGCAGCAAGGACGTACGATTGTCCAAAGCTGGTTGCAGATGTGCGAGCTTCTCCATCATTGTCTTCAGTTCTTCAGTGAACACATCTGCAGTAATGCTCATGTCGTTTTTTAAAAAGATGCGATTAATAACCACAACACATTTAAATCACCAGCACTAGACCACAAAACAGTGACCATCACATTTCTAATGGTAATTTTTCGTTTTGGGCATTGCTTTGGTGTTGAACCAAGATCTAACCAACTTGCTGAGCGCTCTCGATTGTCGAACTGAATCCATTTTTCGTCGGACGTAACAATTCGGCGATCGTTAAATTCGTGGGGCACCCATCTATCAAACTTATTTTACTTTGCCAATTTGTCGCAAATGGACCAATATATATGTTTTGAAGCTTAAATCAAAAGATGCTGCTAACTCGGCTGCAAATTTTGTATCATCAACTTCCACAATCGCCTTTAATTCACGGAAACGGGCGAACCAGTATGCGTTCGATTGTAAAGTTCTCTCCGTATACGATGTCGATGTTAAGTGCCGTTTGTGCCGTGTTGGTGCCACGACGGAACTCATATTCCATAATTACACGAATTTTTAAAGTGTTATGACGAATAATGTGAAAAGTACCCGTAGGACCGAGCTTTGCTCGGTTTGGTAAATCGTGTGTTTTGGAAATTACATTTAGATACAAATTACTGAGTAATGAAATATGCGTAATATTTTTCGATCTTACCGACGTAATAATATGATATATGAACATAATATGATATATAGAAAATATGAACTGATGTTTTTCACAAAAGAAAGAACTTTAAAAAAAAGGGAAAAAAAATAACAAATCGACATAAAATTAAAAATAAAGAAAGCAATGATCTGGAATCGAAAAAAAAGTAAAAAAAATAAATGTGTAAATGATCGTGACACGAACCACGCCCTTTTGTTTCGGGGCCGCCCGATTACCGACCGAGCTATTATAACATTTTTTTTGCGGTAAAATTTACCGTCGTATTCGAATGATATTTTTCATTCCCTGAAAACAGGGATAAAAGGACATTTTCTAAAAATGAAATCTAGCTAGATCGATTTTTTCATGAAAATCGCAGGAGCCGTTTCCGAGATTTCGATTATATATATATATACAAGAATTGCTTGTTTAAAGGATACGATGTAATGAAAATAAAAAGCTAAAAAATAAACGAAAGACTGACTTTGTGAAAAGAAAATCATGTTTTTAAAACAAAATTAATTTGATTTTAGAATTCACAGCCAATCAAAACTTTTGTTTGGAATGACCAGTACTGAAGAATAGCAATTTTAAAGGTAAAATTCTCTAATAATAATTAGCGGACAGAATCCTAATTGATTTTACCTGCTCATTTATTTATTTTTGCTGAAAGTTTATTTTTGTTAAAAATCAGTGTATTAAGGGTAGGAAAAAGAATATGCGTATTGGAAGAAGGTTATCACTTCGGCAAATATTTATGTTGATATAGTCACAATTTTTTCATAGTGTGAATATGACAACAATAGTAAGGAAAAAATCATGCTTATTTTGGGCATTGCACATGCAAAACAATATTAACTTAAGAGGACCATTATCAGATCACAATTCAATCCATAGTTATGCTTTATATCTTCTTCCTCCTAGCCTTATCCCACCTAGGTAGGGTCCGCATATATGAATAAAGTTGTTAGTGATACTAATTTACAACCAGCCTGATATAAACTCTCGAAAACAAACACCCAGATCCTGAATAATTATCTGTGTTTAACACAAATACCTGCACATGTGAGACTCGTGACTCATCCTGGCACTGAAGCCAATAGCTTAGCAACTGCACCACAGTCATCATTATTTTATGTCAGTTGTTAAATTGTATATATGTTGTTCATACTCATTTGTGAATATAGGTTTATGTACATTTTATAATACATGCTAGAAAGAAGTATTGTATTTCATCTTGTGAGTTAGATTACCAAGGGCCACCCTCTTAGCAATATAACTGGAAACCCAAGGATACTGGTAATCACTTAACATCTGAAGAACTGTCACCTTGTTTATGTATATTATGAAAGAAGTCTTGGGCATACTTACAACTGTTCTCCCTCATTTTCCTCCCGTACTTTGTCAGGTATTCTGGTGACGTCTCAACTTGTGGCAGAGTGTTTGAGGAGAACCACGCCGCTAGGTACTTATTAAGTCCCACTTCGTAGAGTAACTCCAGGCAACTTTCACACTCTTCTACATAGAACGGCGAAGGCGATGTCACACCAACGGCCTGCGGAATAAAGAAGCAAGAAATCATTATTATAAAATGCAATGAAGAATTATTGAGTCTAATGAATATCTTTACCAGTTACGAAATACATTTGGACCATGTATTTCGCAACTGCTAAAGATAATGAACCATTTGGTTTTTATAAAGCATATTTTCTAGCTCCAAAGTAACTTACTAGAGGTAATTTTGTATTTTAAGTGCAAAAATAAAAATGAACATAGCCCTCTAAATAGTTTAAAATAGGATCTATATTTACTTAAAAAATATTGTTGATAGTAGGTGCATAGTCAATATATTTTCTGTATTATTAATCATAGTATTCATATATCAAATTTGATTAACAGTATCAAATTAAAATTTCAGTAGCTAGTGTCTTTGGAAGGATACAACAGAATTTGGACAGATTAAAATAAAATGTTACAACATGATCTAATAACTTACATCTTCTGTGCATCCACCAGCTTCCATAAGAGTCGCTAATATAAAATGACCCTTACCTATAATTAATAGAAACCAGCGGCCGTCGGGAATTCTACAAAATGTCGCCCCATTTTAATGAAATTAGCCAACTTGTAATTAATCAAATCATCAAATTCAACATTCTGTTGCTCACCTGTTATCAGTTTTATCATTTTTAGATTGCATTCTGTGCTCTTTGATGAAAACTTCTTTCCATATCACAAGTTTATCTAATTCTTTTTCGGTGCTAATTTTGAGTACACTGTTGAATTTAAGAAATGCATTTATCTCAACCAAATCTTCGTCGCGCAAATGGGAACTCAAAAGGTGTCCAGAATAATACAAACAAGCTCCAATAACAGTGTAAAGCCTTTGGAAATTTTCAACATCATCTGTCTGAAATTACAGATAAATAACAGTTGAATCTTATTATAACATTATGCAAACTTTATGGTACAGATAAACTTACCCATTCGCGGTAATCAGCGGCTTCTAATTCTGTTATTGCATCATCAACTTGTATTTTGACTTCCAACGGTAGTGTAACTGAATGTGTGGCCAATAGGTCTTCAAGTAACACTGGTTGCGCTTTGTTATCTTGCCTTGGCATATTCTTATCGAATTTGTCAAACAACAAGTGAAAGAAAATGCGGGAAAACAAACCATCCAGCTTATCAACATTATTGGGCTTAGTAAAACATGATTTTAAAGAACCATAAAGAAATTCCAAAATGTTTACAATTTCCACAATCACTTTTTTAGCAGAAAATATGTCTAAATTCTTATTAGGTATGGCTATCAAGAGTAAATCACTGAAATGTGATGCATATGTGACATTTATTAAAGTATTATTGTATAGAACACTTGAGACTATAGGTTCACTCATACCCAATGACTTAGGAGTTAAGTGATTTAGTGTAACATATGCCCCTCTAGTATTATACAGAAAGTTCTGATTGTAAGGGCGAGGGTAACAATATAAGACACCTTTATCATCATTACTCTGATATTCTATATCATTGCAGCATATATACAAAATGGAACACATGGAATCTTTTAAGAGTTGTGTTAAGGAATTTTCTGGGGCATGTTTTAACAACAATAATTTAACAATGTCACAATGAAAATCTTCTGTCACTACTAAAAACGTCAGCTTGGGGCTTTCTATATCTTCAACTACCCTTTGAAGAACATTGTTAATGTTATATGAGTTAACTTCAATGCCATTAATTTTAACTAGATAATATCCAGCTTTTACTCTTGGAATGTAGATTGCTTTTGCTTCTGTTAAAAAGTTTGCAACAACTAATGTTTTTCCATCAACATGAGTCTCTACACTTATTCCAAATAACTTTTCTATTTGGCAGTTTTTCTCGCTATTGAATATCATATTTTTGCTAACCTGTAAAAAAATTTCATACCCATGTAATCATTATATAGAGAATACATCATCAATAAAAAACATTTTATTTCTTGTTTACATTATTACTACAAATGTTTATATAAATGTCAAAGCTGGTTTGCCTCAAAATTCTTCATGGTTTAAGATAAAATTCCTATTAATACAAATTAACCATTGACATTGTTAGTTTTTATTTTCAGTAACATATTTAAATACTTTGCAGACTTAAATCTTATGTATTTTCCATATTTTACCTTTCACCTTTCACTCTTTTTTAATGCTTCTTATGAGTCATTTTTCTTACCTGAATAATAACAAATTTATTATTATCTTCTAAACTGTTTTTAAGATTACCACGATTTTGACTACTTTCAAAATCAAGTTTTGAAGTTCCATTATCCCATTTTGCTTTACGAGTTTTTAGTACCTTGAATATTTTTCCTAAAATACCAAGGCAATAAAATATTTATAAAATACATATTTTTGTTAAAATGTCCAGAAATATTTTTTCTATACTTAAAACCATATCATCACAAAATGTTTATCTTCTTATTCTTCTTATCACAGTACTTAATTATGCTTTATAAAGAAATTGCAAAGTTGAATTTTTTGTAAAATTGTTGCAATTTCATTTATATTTAATTTTAAATTCGTATTTTGAGGGATAATTGTATTTGGATTTAATATGTTTAGCCTATGAAGACTTCTTCTTCTTTCCTTTATGGCGTTTTTATGAATTCGCCAATGACATGTGAAAGATGCTTTATCAGTTTATGCTTAGATATTGAATAATTAAGAGAAAAAAATTTACTTTGCGAAAAAAGAGGAGATTGTGATATTGTAGGCACGAAATAGAAATAAATTTTGATAATACTACTCTGTTGAATTACCTAAAACAAAAGACAAACAATTATGTTAAAACAGATATAATTTAGGTACCAAAAGGATGGTTAATTCTCTAAATTGACCAGAATGATCTTTATGATCAGAATGATCAATTCAAAGAGTTTAAACATCCTTTTGGCAACTAAAATGAAATTTGAAATTCATTTGACAGCTGATTAGTTGACATCTACGATGATCAGTGTTTCAGAAACCGGGCGTTAGTGTGTTAATATTGACAGACACTTATAGTTGAATGTTATTAGCGTTAATAAAATAACACAGAATATATACAAAAGAGGTGTTTGTATAGGTAAATAGGGAGTTGAAGTCTATAGGACGCGGGATATAAGGGGGGAGGAGGTCATAGAGGGAATTGGATATCTTAGGACAGTCGAAGAAAATATGATTTGTATTTCCCTTGTCTCTTGTCAATTATCCCTAATCCTGATCTTGGCGAGATGGACATATGTACATGCATGACCTAACCTTAAATGACAGACAATTGAGGTTGAGCACTTGCTAGCTTTATTAAATTTAAAAAACCAGGGTTTACTTGGGATAATACTTTGGATGGAGGCATAATGTTTACCCTTTGAAATTTGTGTAACTCCCCACAAGCCCTTCCACTTATTAACTAGCAATTTTAAATTTGCCATAGGATCATTTTTTTCAATGTTGAGGTCCAAGTGAACATCAGGTTGACGAAAAACAGCATCATAAAGAATATCAAATAGGGGTTTGACTTTGCAAGAAAAATATCACCAGGAATTCGAAGAACTGAAACAAAACTCAAAACATGGCAAATCTTTGTGGACCCAGTAATCATTTGTAGACACAAATTCCGATAGAATGTGTAATTTGGGGATAAGTGGATGGCATGAAAGCTGATATAGTTAAAAGAGGAATCAAACTATAACAAGGAGGATAAAACTTTTATTAAATATATTTTTTTTACCTTTTGCAGATTTCCGTGTGGACACTCTTTTAAAATCACTTCGCAGTTTGAAAGTTTCACAGTTCTCTAACAGTGGAGTGTTAGTATTATCATGGTCATTATTATTTTTTACTTTAATATAAACCAACTCTCCATCTTCTGCAATATCCGAATCCCATTCAGGGACCGAACTAAAAATATTATATCGTAAATATACGAATTGTTTGAATTGATTCAGTTAATAATGGACTTGACTTTCGTAAAAAAGAATTTAAGTAACATGCAATTTACCTTTCTGAATCAGAATATTTAGAGTCTTCTGAAGAATCAGTCCAATCATTATCGGAATCGCAAGGAGATTCGTAATGAACTTTATTTTTAAACTTATTCATATTATTGCTTAAATTTCAATCAAGACCCTGAGAAAAAGCTAAGTTTAAAACCAACTACATTCATAAAAACAATAAATTTGAATATGTGCTATACAAAAAATTATTGTTAAGTTTGATGATTGATCTATTTTATATACCTATATAACTATAAATAGTCTTTTTTTAACATTTTTATCATGATTGTTAGTTGGCCACGGTAGTAAACTCTCTGCCACCTGCCTGTGCCAAGCTACTGAATTTTACCAAAAGAGAACTAGAAAATACTAAAAATCTATTATATTTTTTGTCGTGTTAAAACGTAAAAACATGAATGTTTTCTTGATTAAACGATAAAGTAATAAAAATAACAAACAAAACACCATAATTAAATGAATAAATAAATATTTTAGGACACATTTTTACACAAAAATTTCTAGTCCCAAACTAAGCTACGGGTACTAGAAAACTAATAAACATACTTAACATACTTTTCTTTTGTAAATAAATACATATTATACATATACCAAGTTTCTTGAAAAACACTATGTTCATCACACAATATTTTTCCAGTAGTGGGGATCGAACCCCCACCCTCTGGTGCAGGAGGCAGGTACACTACCGACTACGCCATTGAGGTCGTCAATTAAAGAAACCAATGGTTTTTTTTTCGTTAAAACTGTATATTACATATAAAATATAATTTAAAAAATAAAATAAATAAAATTAAACTAAAAGTTAAGATTCTTCGTCTTTATAATGGGTAACATTGTCATAAAGCTGTTATGTCAGTCCATTAACTTAATCATACTTCTGTCAGGATCAAATCTGCAACATCCTTCTTCCAACTAACCCCTCGTAACTCTTCTGTTCCATGCATTATTGCCATACTTTGATTTGCTATTAGCATCACAGATTTGGCTGACTCCAAAATTTATCCACCATAAACGTTTTAGACGTCGAACTAGCAGCTGACAATGAATTAGACACGGAAACATCTAATTTATAAACTTGCATACTTGATAACCTCTCGGATCGGCCTGTTCAGCCACGAGCGTAAATGTCACCGCGACGCTACTTAGATCATTTGTCATAGATGCTAAGGCCTATTATTTTCCTTTCATATTTTTTTATATGATTTGATGTAGCCATGTATTCCTTCAACGACGCCACTCTACTTAGTACTTCACAGTTGCATACTTTACAATGAGCACTTATAGTGTTTACGTTAGATTTACATAACCAAACCGTACTTAATTGCCAATACCTCAAAATCTACCAAAAAAGTAGAAATCTACTAAATCTGGTCACGCTGTTCTGTAGTATAAGTTTACTCTATGGCCAAGTTAATGTCAAGTTCAAGGTAGCGATGTGCGATTCGAGTTATTTGATTCGAGTAACTCGAATCAAACCTTAAACGAGTCAACTCGGGTTCAATTTTAAGCAACTCGAATCAACTCGGTCGTCCGAACGCAAATCGAACGTTATACGCGGGGCCTAACAAGTATTATGTAAATGCTAAATGTGTAATCGACAAGCGTTTTTAATTTATATTTCTTAATCTGCCCGTTACGTTAGCTATAGTTTCTCAATTATTGTTAAAAATCCTAATAACATGTAAATGGTGACTTTAACTTTATTGATGTTGACTTGTTGAGGGACGTAAAGTGGTTTTAGGCCTTTGCTTTTAATCAGTGTTTCTCAAACTTTTTTGTTGTACCGCCTACTTTAGGAAATATTGATTACCCAACGCCTCTATGAAATTCTTCATCAATAAGGAATAATAATAACGTAGGCTGTTTAACGACTAACTTTTCCTTGAATGAGTGTAATGATTGGACAGTGTGGCTGCAACTGTTGATCAACGTACTGTTATACTTTCCACCACCCATGGATTTTTATTTAGCGCCCCCAGTATTATTTAGTTTCAATCGCCCCCTTACCCACTTTCAGAACCATAACTTTAAATGCTTTTTATTTAATAACAAAAATAATAATAAACTAGCTCACGTTTTTACTGCGATATATCCACGCAACAACTTCTGCTGCACGAATGGGCAGACTTATTAAATTTTTGAAAATTAAACAAACAAAAGTTAAACAATCACATAATAAATGTACATATGGACTGGTATAAAATAAATGGTTTGAATAATATATATTTTAGCCAGCACTTTCAGAAAAACTGACGTGGGTGCTCCGCAATACCCATTTTATGGCGTCCTCGTCATCGACCCATCGTGTAACAGATTAATCGTTCAAGACAGGCGGTCCGTCAGGCATTTTCTATCTGTTCTTGCTTGGAAAACAACAATCCTTACTAATATTATAAATGCGAAAGTTCGTATGTATGGATGGATGATTGTTACTCTTTTACGCAAATGTTAGTGAATGGATTTTAATGAAACTTTACAAGAATATCTATCTATCATCAGAATAACAAATAGGCTATAAATTATATACATATTTTTATGTATATCTGTCTTTCTGTCTGAATGTTACGCCTTCAGCCTATTCTACGCAGACGTTGTCGCGGGCAGCAGCTAGTAAATGATAATTTTTCAAAAAATTATTTGAGTTTATTCTGATCCCAAAAAGAGCCCTGAAATTCCTCTTACTTGAAGGATTTATTTTCGTGTTGACTGTTATTCAATTTTATAGTCTTCAAACTTTAATCTGTCTTCCTATTCTTCACTTTATTCTTTGACATAAAAAATGGCTTAGCTTATAAGATCGTTGTAAAAATCAAAATATTTCATTATTTTTACAAAATTTGGCACAAACAGACATTAAAAATAGATACAATGTTTTAGCTACGCTTTTAATAATATTTTATAATGACCGATTTTTTCAACATAATGGATTTCGTAAAATCACATGAAAATAGCATTACTCCAACAGATTCATCCATCTATAACTTTTTGTTTTACAATAATAGGAAGACGAGTCATATACATACTGAATGTGGAGGGTTTAACGTTAACGACACTTGTGAGTATACTCTTAAAGAAAATGAAAATGAGACAAACTTAAAGATTATTACAAAGAATTCCGAAGACGGGACCTCTTTGAAACAGCAATCAGTCGAAACTTTTGATCACAAGGACCAGGTAACGAGATTAATAAAAACGCATATTTATATCACCTAACATTAACTGATTAATCGAGTAAAATACTTATCCAATCAAGAAAAAAGCAGGGGAATTGAAAGAAAGTACCAGAAAATTGTTAAACCTATTAGACAGAGTTATATCTAAGACTCAGTCAACATTAAAAGGAGATGATGTAATGCCAAAATATCATTTCAAACCAATACAGCCTCATGTAAGTAATAAAACTTTTCAGTATTAGGTACGAAAGAAATACATAATTTACTTAGATAAAAAAGAAAGTATTTTATAAAGCAATAAGGAATAAATAATTTAAAAAGATTGCATATCTTTATAAGATATTATTATAAAAATCTTCATATTATGCGTTTACGTAAAGTATATTGAAATTGCATGTGTGGTCGTCATCATATGCTTCAAATAATTTAATATAATGTACATATGTAGGTGTAATATGCATATAAAGGTAGTTTTACGAATAATACATTTTCTCAATTTCATTACGCGTTATTTACTTAATATCTAAGTGATTGTGGGTTTAAGAACATCAAAATCTCTTTATTACGATTACCTATAAACAGGATCTCTCCATCTCCAGTGTGGTATCAGGCCAATCGACTATAATATAACTATTTCAACAGGCGGACATATTATGTAAGGCAGAAGGCTTACCTCCTCAGTTTCCTCGCATAGGCACTCCTGTTTATGCGAGGAAACTGACGAGCGATACGATTTACAATTTATACAATCTTTATATATATAATTTTTCTGTACGTGTGTATATCACTGAACTCCTCCGACCGATGAATGAATTAAGACGAATGATTTTTTTTTGTGTGTGTTCAGGTGGATTCGGGAATGGTTTAGATTCACAATTCGGTCCACTACAATGTCTTTTTATAATTTTTTTGTTTATAAGTTGTTTACGGATTTAAGTTGTGTGTACAGGACAAAGTCAACCGGTCCGCTAGTAGAATTATAAAATTTACTATTTTATTTTATTGTTATACGTAAACAGGAAGACGGCGGAGAATGCTCCATCTATAACAGATTAACTAGGAATTGCCAATGCCTGAACAGCAATATTTATAATGACTTCATACTAAAGTTTAACGAAAATGTAAAACATTCAACGTGTGATATAGGAGAGATAATAAAAAACATGAAAATTCTCAAGAAGTTTCTATACATGGGAGACGGATACACGAGAAATGCACTTCTATTTTTGAAGGAAGTATGTATTATGCAGATACAGTACATCTGCCTTAATTTAAATACAGATTAATCTTATATCTTTCCCAATATACGAAGGCTGTATGTAATGTTATTTATCTAATTACGACTAGATAAATGGCAAACTCTATTTTTAATTAGAATGGGAGTTCTATGGTGCTCTTGTGTTCGAAACGTAAAATTCAATCGGTTCTACACAAGGTACACCCGCGTTCCGGGGCGGTTCTCACTGTTCCCAGCCACCGATTAGCTAATTATACAGTCGACGGCCATCGGGGTTTCGGTCCGAACCGCAACCTCGATGGCCTTTAAATGACATACCATAGTTAAACGCACGCATGAGAACACGCACGGCCCTACCCACAGCGAGGGCCACAACCCGTGGGTTTTGGCTAGCCCACCCGTTCTGCGTCAGATGAAGCTTTAATAGTCTCTGGACTGAAAGTAAAAATATCAGTTAATACAAGATACAAGAAGTCAATCGGTCCAAATTCCACCGTAAAAATTTCATTTAAATTGTTTAAGAAACTGATTAGGAAGCATCGTCGCTGTACTATGCCGAGCTTTTCCACACGTACCTATGAATAATATTACATATTACTGCTTTTTTGTCATTGCTATGATAGATTATAATCAACTCTTATACGTCTATTATACGCTTCACTCATTTCCACCGCAATG